GAATGTAAAATCAAGGTTGAAATTACATTATACTCAGCGGCAGTGATTAAATGATGACTTTATTTACAGGATACAAACTTTTAATATTGAACGGGAATTAAAGTGCTTAATTTTACAATATTTCTAATTCTTATCCTTTATGACCAAATATACATATGTTATAGATTATATACAATATTTGCCAGTATTTTACATTCATAGGGATCTTAAAATTTATTTTTCACATGCACTTTTAAACATCTGAATTAAATTGGAATTTGAGGACATACCTTTTCAAGAGTATCACAGTATGAAATGCTAATTTGGTAAAAAGGTGTTTTATCTAAGGATATGATTGTTTTGACAATGAATAGTGGTCCCCAAATGATACATTTTTAATACCCATATAATGTGTATGATAGTTACAATTCCTTCACAGTAAATGATCCTTTGCAGATGAGGATACTCTGATTCCTTCCATCTCCAAATATATTTTTTGGTATCATTATTTAAATGATTCGATTGTGGCATCTGTCAATTTCATATTTTACAAACAAGACTACAATTATTATTTACTAACAAATTAAAAAATATTTCATAGAAACTGTATCATTTTGTGCATGAAGTGAGAGAAAGCAAGTGCACAAGAGAGTTTGTGAGAATGTTTTATTTCACCAAATCTTTAGTCAAGGAAAATAATGAAAATGTACTGATGTTAGCTGACTTCCATCATAGTAAGCTGAGTAGAATGTCTCAAGGGGGTGAAATTCTTCAGAAAAAAATTAAAAAACAAGATGAAAAGATGACGCCTGGTGGAAATTTGGAGTGTGTGTGAAAAATCTGCATCTTACCAAAAGCACCCATACACTGCTTCTTTGATAAGTATATGTATTTCTATTTTTCCACTTTTATACTTTGTGTATTCCTCATTAATACAAATTTCATAGAAATAATATAAAGCTAAAAACTGCTCTGACTTTGGGATAAGCACTTTTCCTCTGTCCATATTCTGATCTATCTATTCTTATCTCTCAGTCTCCCTGTTTTCGACACTATAGATATGAAGTGAATGAACAAGAATGAGTTATTTCAAAAATCCATGTAAACAATTATATAGAATGTTTAACAGTGTGAAAGAAATGTTCCCATGGTAAATAATTTAATTTTCATCTGTGAAAGATAGTATGAATAATTAAATGTTTTAAGCACACAAAAATAAATTCACATAAGGAATTTAAAAAATACTTATCTTAGTGTATAATTAACATAAACATTATTCTCAAAGATGAAAATTAATTTGAGTTCATGAAATGATTCTACAGACATAGATATGGGGCAAAGATGAAGAAGAAACATGACAGACTGCTATTCATAAAGCATGTTACAAAAGACCCAAGGATAAGAACAGATAAGTCAAATTACCGTTCCTAATTTGAATACATTCATGAAGAATACAAAAATTAGGAAAGAAAATTTTAAGATATTCTCTTAATTCATTTTAACTGATGACATGTTATTACATACTTATATTTACATATACAATATTTACATATAACCTCAGATCTGTTAACATGCCATGAAAACACTTCATGTAACAACTTTTATTTCCATTTATTTTCTTCAGTGTTATGTAAGCAAGGATTTTTATAGAAACCAGGGTCTTGCCACCACCTAAATACTTATCTTCAGTCCTGCCTTTTCCCCAACTTAAGGTAAAATCTAGACAAGAACACTGTAAAAAAATTCATGAAGACTATCTACCAGACAGCAAGCTGAGAATAAGCAGAATAGAAGGAGCTGAACATACTAAAGTTAAAAAAACAAACCTCTTTCCTACATAAATCCTTAGGATTATGACAGCAGCAAGAAAATAATAGAATATTTTATTAGCAGAATTATTTTAACATTGAAAAGTTTTTCAGAAGGCATCAATGATTCTTCAAAAACCCTGCAGTACCAGTCTTCAGTTTCTTTAAAACATGTAAATAAAACAAGCATTCTTTATCACCTTATATGTATCTGTGAAGTAATCTATTTAGGGGCAGATAAGATTTCTTTTAATACTTTGTTTCCATAAAAAGTTTACATCTTTTTCCCACTCTAACTTTCAAATTAAGAAATATGATTAGAAACAGCAGTATGATATATTTTAAATAATTTACTTGTCCATATCCTTTAAAACTGTTTAAATAATTTATTTCTTTAATGGAGTATAAAAACAGCAATTTGAAGTGCAGCATTAATTCTAAGCTCGAGAGAAAAAGGGGATACACACTCCCCATTTGGGCAGATACTTTCATATTCAAGTCTTCACTGTAAATGCCTACCCTGAAGAATGATATTACTTGCAAACCGTACCTGCGGTATTCTCATTGTAGTACCATGAAAGTGACTGTTTACATGTCCATGAGTAAGCTCTGTTAAAAAGCTGGATATAAAAATGTGCACTATATACAATGTTTAAAACTTCAAGTAAATCTCAAGAAGAAAACCCAAAGTAGGGGAAAAAAAAAAGAACTGGAATGTTTTACTGTTGTGAAGAGTAAATTTCATGAACTCAGTCATTTTTTGGTTTCTGGGGGATGATGGATTTAAAAGACAGAGATAATTTAGAAAGCAGCAAGGAAGAGAAAGGATTAGATTAAGCCTGAGAGAGGACAGTGGTTCTAAAAGGATAGCCATTATCACTGTTTATATAAACACTGGAAGTCAGCAACAGTTCTTAAAATGAAACACATTTGTAGGGCCTTCACTACATATAAAGCAATCTAAAAGAGCTCAGTTTCACTGATTAAATAAGATAGTTAATATATTCTTTCCTAAAAGAAGAAAGAAACATAATGGTGCTTTCCTTTGAAAACATAGAGGAAGAAGGAAGTAATTCTTATCACACAAAATCTTTTCTAGGATCACTACTGATTTATAAAAAATGAAAATAGCATCATACTTTTTTATCTGTAGCATATTATATAAATAACATCTATTTTTTAAAAAGATGTTTTATTTTTGCTACTACCAATGTATTGAGTAAAAAAGTGAGAGAGTTGGGCTTTTTGTTTTGTCTTTGGAAGAAATAATATTATAGAGGTGCCTTTTAAATCCTTTTCAAAATCCATCAGTTCCATAGAGCCATATTTGGACCACAGAATCTTCAGTTATGTGTAACATACATACCATTTCCCTCCCTTTAGAACCATTTCCATTTTTTATATTGTTTCCTTCATTTTTAGGCAAACATTCATCAGTACTAAATATTGCTTACTGTTCATATCAAGCACATTCTTGCCCCCCAAAAAATTTAAAAAGGGACCACAATAGAAGGCAAGATCAAATTTCTCTTCAGTTTGCTCTCTGATTTCTACAGGGTTTGAGGGTTTACTATGATGCTTTCTGGCTCTGAGTATTTCATTTTCATGGCTGGTATGCATTCCATGTAGAAAGGAAAAAAAGCCCCGACACATTTGTTTCCAAATCATAATATTTGCCTGCTCCTTTTTGGAGGAATAAATAGGATAGATGAAATGTCCTATTAAAATGGGCCTGAATTCCAGCTCTAATGGTCTAAAAACTCTGAGTAAAGGTTTTGTCATTCTCTTCCTTTGTAATCCTCCATGGTTATATTTAATCCAGGCAGGCCTATATATCTTTTAGCAGTCACATATTAGGAATAAAGAGACAATCAAAGAAATAAATATCACTTGAGAAATGGCTCAACTTGAGAAGATAATGACATTTTAATCACAAGAACAATATTGAGTCAAAAAGTCAGAGAGTTGGATATTTTTGTTTTGTCTTTGGAGGAAGACAAACAAAAGAGCAGTGTCTACAGTTTTAAAAAATTACAATCCCCAGTTAAAAAAAAAAAGCCACCCAAAGATTGTGTCATATCCCTTTCTAACCTTCCCCAAATCTGTAAACTAAAATAAAAAAATTTTTCAAAAGTGAAGTTTTCTCTTTCTTCCTTGGAATATTGATTTCAGAAAGAAATGAACTTTATAGATTTTGGACAATAAAAGTTTTCATTGACATTATTTTTCCCTAACAATTGAAATTGTATTAGTTATCTAAAACATACTTAACAATGCTAGGAAATTCAAGTGAAATTGTGCTACTACCCATACAATGTAGCTGAGATGAGATGAATAGATTGATACATGAATATATCATGTGTGTATTATACATTCTACATTTAAATGTGCCTATAGAAATAAGTGAAAAAATTTATTGAAAAATTTTTTCTACAAAGAAAGTTTACCAAATAGCATTCCCAAGTACTAACTCAGTCAGGTTTCCCACAGAGAGAATGTTTTCAGATATCAGTGAAAGGAAAGAGAATCCTTACAAATAATTGATGTTACTATACTTACTTTAACATTCATATGATTATAAAAATGAAATGTTCTAAATGCTGAGTGTCCCAGTGATCAAAATGGTAATTTATCTTATCTCAAATTAATGAAGACAAAAACATTACTAATTGAATCTACACCCTATATTTAAATATGTAATATTAGCACCTTCAAATAGAGGCACTGTTTTAAATAGGCTCAGAAAATGAAAGAAAAATTAATGGTCTTAAAATAGAGTTGGAATTCACTAATTTGTTACATGCCATATAAACTGCTACATTTGTTAAGCTTACAAAAATATCAAGACCATTAGGTATCAACTAATTAAACATAAATTGTCAAAACATTCTTTAGAATACTTTGCTTAATTCCAAGATAAAACATGCTTTGTTTTTTTTAAAATATAGATAATAGACAAATATGATCCTAAAACCATGAAGTCAAAGTAGTCTATTTGATATTGTACATACATAAATCCTTATACTTCTGGTTTTTTCCTTATTTGAATAATATATTTTTTAAAAGAAAAACAAATAGCTTTTTATTCTTATTAAACTGAAAGTCTAAAAGTCAATGTAATTTGTCTTTTTGATTTTTTCTATAAGAAAATACATTATAACATACACAATGTGTATAAATAGCTTTAGAAACCAATTTCAATAAAGTGAATGCTTTAAACTAAACTTTCCCTGTATTTATCACTACATATCTATTTTGGCAATATGGAGGTATATCTTTCAAATTGTCAGAAGTCCTACATAAGCAAAGAATATAACAAAGAATCTGTGGCACATTTTAACCTAACAGCAAGAGAATCAAATGCCATTTTCTTTAAGACAAACACAAGTAGTAAATACTCAAGGCAGAGTTCTTAAAGATTATTTCATTGTTCACATTAAAAAAAAATATCAATAAAATGACTCTGTACAGCAACTTCATTAATGATACATAAGTTTAGGAAAATAGTCTGTTTTTACTGCACCCTTTTTCTCCCACCCCGAAATTTGCTTATGAACCTGTATTTTTAACATAAAGTGCTAAAAGGTGTAGGGGTTGTTGGGAATGTCTTATTTTCTGGGTTTTTTTCCTTCACTTGCTTCATTGCACAGCTGTGTCCCACCCTCCCCCCACACCCCAACAACAGGACATCTGTAACTCAGAATCCCGGCTTTCTTATTAGTCCAGGATGATCATTTACTGTGACTTATAGTTCATTTGGATACTCTGGTGTCTCACCTTTGACAGCTAAGTGGATGATTTTCAACCATTTCTGTTTCAGTTCCTCACTGTCTGCAGAAAAGCTGTGCACAGACTTAGACTGGGTCAGTTTGAAACTGTGAGGGAGATCAGCACTCCCTGGTGTATCATCCACTGTGTAGCCTAGGAGTGGAATGGTTGCTTGAGCTCTGACATCCTAAAAACAAAACGCCATTATGATTTAGAAAAGAATATGACATAGAAAAAGAACAAAAAGAAACAAGAGCCAAATCCTAACCTCAATAAATTTGTTTTATAAAATATATGATATGTAATATGTATATGTATATAATCATATAATTGTTGACACTTTTGGGTGTACCCTTTGCCACCATCTCTTAGTAACCTCTCCTCCTCTGAGGATCATTCAATCCATATCTATCACCCAATCAAAATTCTAGCGGCTGCTTTCTCAGACCTGCAGGAAACTTTCCTTCCTTCCTCATTGAATTCAGTGCCTGGTTCACAGTCTTTCTCTCCTGTCTCATACTAGGGGACTTCAACCATACATACATAATGATAGTTCCTCGAATACTCTATAACACTGTTGTTAGAGCTGAGATTTGGTCTAGCCATTCTCAAAAGAAATTCAAAAGCATGCTTTAAAAAATCTATAAACTATATACTCATTCCTGCAGAACCACTATTAAGTCTCTGACCCAAAAAGAGCAGAAAAAGGACCCAATATGCATTAAAAAATATTTATAGCAGCTCTTTTTGTAGTACTAGAGAAGGAGAAACTAACAGGGCATGGCTGAACAAGTATGGCATATGAATGTAACGAAATACTATTATGCCATAAGAATTTTAAAAGGGAATGATTTGAGAAATCTGGGAAGATTTGTATGGACAGATGTAAATTTAGGTGAAAAGAACTAAGGGAACAGTTTATACAATAACAATAACACTGTAAAAAACAAACCATAAGAATGCTGATCAATACAATGACCAACCATGATTCCAGAGGACAAACGATGAAGCAGTATCTCCTGACAAAGTAGTGACAGACCCAGGACACAAAATAAGGCACATTTTTTTGGACATGGCCAATATGGGAATCTGTTTTGCTTGTCTATGAATATTTGTTGCCATTTTTTTCTCTCTTTTTTTTAATGGTAGGAATAGGAGGTAAAGAAAATAAATTTTGTCTGGATTTGATGATTAGATAACTTGAAGCAGAGAGTCCAGTTAGGCTATTATAGTAGTCCAAGTATGAGGTGATAATGTATTAGGGAGGTGACTGTAACTGGAGAGAAGGGAGCCTACGCAAGATATATTGTGAAGGTAGAAATGACAAAATTTGACGATAGATTGGATATTTGCAGTACGTGAAAGGAGTCAAAGATGATTCCAAAGATCCAAAGCTGGATGACGGTGTCCAACGGTACTGGGGCAAAGATCAGTTCTGTTATAGTCATATTTACTTGGATGTTGGTTTTGAGGTGTCCAAAACCAGTTATTGATACGGGGCTGGTGCTCAGGCAAAGTTTAGGGTTAGATATTTAGATCTGAGAATTACCTGCATAGAAATGGTAATTGAGTACATGGGAGGTAATGAAAATCACCAAACAAGTTAATAGGGAAAATAAAAGAAGAGGGCCCGGGACAGAGCTTCTTTCTCTATTTTCATATGTATCATAAAAAGGAATTTATTAAGATTGCTTTTCCTATTTTTCCTAACAGTTTATATAATTTTAGAATTATTCTTTGAATGTTTGATGGAATTCACTTGAAAATGCATATGGTTTTGGAATTTTTGTTCTTTGGAAGTTGATTTATGGTTTGTTAACTTTCTTTTTCTAAGACTGGGTTATTTAAATTATCTATTTCTTGTTCTGTTAATCTGGATATCTTACATTTTTGTAAATATTCTTCCATTTCAATTAAGTCATCAGTTTTGTTAGGATTTAGCTGAACAAAATAGTTTCTAATAGTATAATTTATTTCTTTGTTGTAATTTTTTTATTTTGGTAATTTGATTTTCCTCCTTTTATACTTAAATTAGCTAATGTTTTATCTATTTATTGTTTTTAAATAGCTCCTAGATTTATTAATTCAATTTATTTATTTATAAACTAAAAACCTTTTATTCTTATGAATGTCTTCTATATTGTTTGGGATTTCTATTTTGTTGTTTAATTGGGATTTCAAAATTTGTTGGTTTTTTAGATTTTTTAGTTGCATTCCCAATTCATTGATCTGATTTTTTTCTTTTCTGTGTATGAAAGAGTTAAGAGATATAAAATTTCCTCTAAGGACTGCATCCTCAAGGGGTGCATCCTCAAATTTTTAGGTTGTCAATTATCTTTAATGATATCATCTATTGTTTGCATGCTTTGTTTTCTGACCCACCAAATCTTTAGAATTAAATTAAACATCCTTTTGTCCTACTTCTCTCTCCCACTCCTCTTATCTTCTAGCAGTCACTGAAACCTGTCTCTCCTCAGATGGCACAGCTTTCCTGGCCACCCTTTCTAGTACTGGCTGTACTGTCACTCATTCCCCTTGGCTCACTGGTCAAGAAAGAGGAGATGGAACACTCTTTGCTCTCTATTGTCACTTCCAAGTTTTCTCCTCACCTCCAACATCTCTCTCCTTCCTTGAGAGCCATCTTCTACTCAATCAAATTTTGGTAGCTGCTGTCTACAGACTTCTGGTTCACTCCCCTTCCTTCCTCAATGACTTCAATACCTCAATGAGTTCCCAATTTTTCTCTCTTCCCCAAATCCTGCCCTCATACTAAAGGACTTCAACATGCGTACTGACTCTCCCTCAAATACCCTAACCGCTAAAGTCACTTTCCATACCTACTCTCTACCCCACTTCAGCCACTCACAAAGATGATCATTCCCTTGATCTTGCCATCACCCATAAATAGACCATATCCATCCATGTTCAAGGAATCTCTTTATCTGACCAGTATCTATTGGCTTACCATTTCCTTAACAAATCCTTCTCATTGTCCACGTCTTAATAAACTCCAATCCCTTGTCCCCTAAGCCATCTCTCTTACACTAGTCATTTAATATTCCTTTCTCCATCTTGATTCCTTAATGAACCAATTGAATTCTATACTAATCCTGTTCTTGTGTCCCTGCCCCCGCCCCTTATGTATCCAATTAAACCCTGCACCAAACTTCAGCCATGTATTACTCCCACTATCCACCACTTTCATCGATGGATGTCCAGCAGACATCTTAAACATTTTAAACTCAACATGCCCAAAACAGAATTCATTATCTTTCCTTCTAAACCTTCCCTCCACTCCTACCTTCTTTATTACCATAGAGGGCAACACCATACTCCCAAAACCTCAGACTCACAACCTAGGTGTCATCCTTAACTCCTCATTGTTTTTCACCCACCCCACTCTCACATCCAATCTGCAGCCAAGGACTGTCAACTTTACCTTTGCAACATTTATCAAATAAACCCCCTTCTTTCCTGATACTGCCACCACTATGGTGTAGGCTCTCGCCTGAACTATTCCAATAGCCTGCTGGCAGGTCTGCCTGCCTTAAATTTCTTTTCATTGCCATTTATCTGCCGAAGTGATTTTCCTGACAGTCCAACTAAGGCACCCCCTCACTCAATAAACTCCAGTGGCTCCCCATTATCTCCAGGATCAATTACAAAATCTTCTGTTTGGCACTCAAAGCCCTTCATAGTCTATCCCCTTCCTACCTTTCCAGTCTTCTTACATATTATACTCAACCATGTACTCTGTCAGTGATACTGTCATTGTTCCGTGAACAAGCCAATCCATCTCTCAGGTCTGGGCATTTTGTCTGGCTTTCCCCATGCCTGGAATGCTTTCCCTTCTGATCTTTGTCTCCTGGATTCCTTTAAGTCCCAAATAAAATCCCATCTTCTATAGGAAGCATTTCCCAATGCCTTTTAATTTTAGTGCCTTCCCTCTGTTAATTATTCTCTCTATATATTGAACATAGCTTGTTTGCATATATTTAATTACTTATTTCCTCCATTAGAATATGAGCTCCTTGAGGGCAGGGATTATCTTTTGCCTCTTTTTGTATCTCCAGCACTTAACACAGTGCCTGGCATATATAGTAAGCATTTAATGTTTATTGACTGACTGAGTCTCCAATTAATTTTTAAACTTTCTTCAGTGGCATTTTATTGACTATAATTGTTATTGTTTTATGGTCAATAAGGGATGTGTTTAATACTTCTGTGTTTCCGCATTTGTTTTGGGGTTTTTATGCTCTAATGTTATTTTTGTGAAGATGCCATTAAAACACACACACATACATCCATATGTTTATGTATAAGCATATATAGCTATAGATACTTTCTCTATGTATATACATACACACATATATACACAATTGCCTAAGATCTATCATATTTAATATTTCTCAAATTCTATTCAGGTCTTTAACTTCTTTCTTGTTTTTATTGTTGTCGAGGATAGATTTGACTAAAGGACAAACACCAAAGCTGGCCTCTCCTACAACCCTACACTATTATAGTTTTACTGTCTATTTCTCTCTATAATTCACCAAGGTTCTCCTCTAAATATTTAGATGCTATGTCATTAGGGATACATATATTAAGTACTGAAATTAATTGTCTATGGTACCTAAGGGAAAAAAAATTGTCTATGGTACTTTCCAGTAATTTACCTGTTTATCTCTTAGATAAATCTATTTTTGCTGTTGCTTGTCTGAGATCATGATCCGCTATTCTTACTTTTTTGAGTTCAGCTGAAACATAGTAGATTTTGCTTCAGCCTCTTATCAATCTTTATATTTCAATTGTGTTTCTTATAAACACCATATTGTTGTATTCTAATTTCTAAACCATTTTACCGTTCTCTTCCATTTTATGGGCAAGTTCATCCCATTTCCAAGATCAGTTATCATCATTAATTTTGCATTTCACTCTGTTATTTTCTTATACTTTTTTTCTCTCTTTGCTTTCTGCTCCTTCTTTACAAAGAAGGAGAGTTTCATGGAACAAGAACATGGTTCACATCAGTGGACTTAAACCAACCAACTTATGTCCCCCCTGCCCCTTTTCTCCACTCATGCAGACGCCAATTTCAGGTTCTTACTCTTTTTTTTTCTTCCATTTCAAGCTCCCTCTCTAAACATAACCTTCTTATTGTCCCTTTCCCCCTTTTCTTTTCTCCCCTTTTTCCCTGTTGAATTATATATATGTGTGTGTGTGTGTGTGTGTATTTATTTCTACACCAAACTTCGTATGTATATCAGTGTTTTACCTTTCTTTGATCAGTTCAGATGAAAGTGAGGTTTTAATGACAAATGAAGTTTCTTGCATGCCTTTGTATATACTTCTACCAGCAGAATCCAATTATACAAGATAATGTCTCTTCCCCACCCACTCCTTCCTTTTTTATCTTCTAATATATTATTTTCCCTTGCCTTTTCCTTTCCTTTAAAAATTTTTTAAACAATCATGAAAACATTAAAAAACAGCTTCATTGGCCTTCTGCCTTCTTTGACTCCTTCTATGTCCCGATGATGTTAAGCCTCTGAGGATACACTTGTTTCATCCCTTCAATTGAACATAAGCACTTTATAAAGTCACTTTAGATTGCTTGGTTATATTTAGCTTCCTACATTTTTCTTTATTCCCATATTTATATTTCAAAGTTTCTACTCTAATCTTTTCATCAGGAATGCTTAAAAGTTCTTCATTTCATTAAAGGTCCATTTCCCCCCATATGATTGTTTATCATCATTTTTGCTGTGTAAGTTATTCTCAGTTGTAAACCTAACAAGTCTTTTGCCTTCTGGAATATTATAATCCGAACTCTCCACGTCTTCAAAGTGGCAGCTGCTAAATCTTGTATGATCCTGAATGTGGTTCCTTAGGTTCTCAAAGTCTTTCTTTTTGGCAGTTTGCTGTATTTTTCTTGGGCTTGGGAACTCTGTATCTTACCTATAACATTCCTAATGGGGCTTTCTTTACAGAGGAGAGTGATGAATTCTTTCACTATCCCTTCTCATTCCAAGATATGTTAACATCTTTCTTTCATGATTTCTTGAAATGTGATATCTAGGCTCTTATGGCTTTCAGGTAGTGCGATAATTTTTCCCCTATTTTAAAAATAAATATTTATTGATAAATTTTGTTTTTTATATCACCAGAATTTTCTCCAGTATCTCTCCCCCTCTTCTTCCCAGAGAGGTATCTAATATAACTAATTTTTTAAAAGGAAAAAAAAAAACCCCAAACTGATAGATACATTGAAAAAGTCTGTATCACACCTATGGACCTCTCATCTCCACAAAGAGAAGTGGGGATGTCTTCTCATATCACTTCTTTAAAGTCATGCTTGCTTTTTATAATTTTTGCAAAATTTAATTCTGTTCATCTTATATCATTTATGTGGTTGTAGCCACTGCACGTATATGTATATATGCACACATACACACATACATATTGAGTAATCAGAGCCAAGAAAACCACATATGTGTGTCTGTAGTTTTCTTGGTTCTGCTTACTCAGCTCAGCATCAATCATGTAAATTTTTCCATAATTCTCTATATTCATAATATTAATTGTTTTTTATGGCATAGTAATACTCCATTATATTTATGCACTTTGTTTAGCTGTTCCCCAGTTGACAGGTACACATGCTGCTCATTCAGTGATTCTTAAATTATCTCTCATTTATCTGTTTTATAGGTCAGTTTTTTAAAAAACATGAGACATTTTCTATTTTATTCTATTTTTTTTCAGTCTTTTGACTTTGTTTTAACATTTCTTCTTGTCTCATGGAGTCATTAACTTCTGTTTCGTTTATTCTACTTTCAACGAGTCTGTTACTTTGATAAGGTTTTGTGCCTCTTGTGCTAGGCTATTAAATCCCTTTTTAATCTTTCTTCCAAAGCTATCTTTCCCCCCAGTTCTTTCCTCTATTGCACTAATTTCATTTATAATATAATTTTTAAACTTAAAAAAAACCCACTCTTGCATGAGATCAAGCTGTGATATTAGAGGCGTTACTTGAAGGTGTTTTGGATATATTCTGTTAGAAGTCAGTTCTTTATCTTTTGTTGTTGTTCACTCATTCTTCCAGCTTCTTTACTTCTTATGGTAGGACTATGTATTAGAAGCAAGCTCACTGAACTTCTGGCAGGACTGTCATGGCCTTGAATGATACTGGCTTCTCTTATCTGGGGTCCTGTCACTATGTTCTTTGGATACTGAGTGCAGTGTTCTTGAAGATAATAGAAAGTGTTGGAGGTGGGAAGCTGCAGCCTTTCAGTGAGTCCTATGTGGTCAGATCCAGGGCATGGCATGATCGCTTCTCTCCTGGGCTTTTTGGGCTCCAGACCCTGGTTCATATCTACGCAAGGCAGCTGCAGACATCTCCTTGGGCAGTGCTCTAATAAATAGTAGTTTGCCTCAGTCTCTCTCAGACTCAGCAGGCTGAGAGAGACTGGATTGCTGGCCTATCTCTGTTCTGGATCCTGGGAACAATTTGTGATCTGCTCGGGAAGACTTCAGTCTGCTGAGTTTTGGATTGGGTCCCTCTGGGAGGCCCTTTCTTGCTGGCCTGGGTGAAGGGTAAAGTCAACAACTCACTTTAGGCTGCCCTCTGCTGCACTGCTGGCTCCTGTTTAGAGCCTTGAGACTTGAATCCTTAATTTGGCCTCTTTTGGGGATCCTTCTTACTTACTGGCCTAGGCATGGGGCTGAGTATGCAATTTGTTCTGAGAGACACTGCCCCACCCACTATCTGTTTGGTGCCCTGGGAATTGAGACATTGATTTTGGCCCACCCTCGTTTCACAGTTCCTATTCTGGTCACTTGCTAGTGGGTCCAACTTGTGATCTTGGGCTGGAAAGCTATCTTACTATGGTTTCTCCTCAGATCTCTCAATCACCACTCTGTCATCTTGGTTCTAGTAGTTGCGGGGAAAGCTGGGTTGTACTACTTCTTGCTACTCTAGTATTTTGGTTGGTGTCACCTCATTTTAATAGCCAATATTACAGATACATTTTACATGTATATTTTCAAATGCAAGGAGATACCTTCTCCCTCCCCCTATCCGCCGCCCCCAATTTGTTTAAAAAATACATTTCTGTTTTTGTTGGAAGTAACGCATGTGTGGATATCTCACATCTAGAAATTTAGCACTTAGAAGTCAAGGGGTTGTGACTTTCCATAGTAAGTCAAAACACACCTATGTCTTCTTCTCAATGACTGTTATTCAATGATGTTAAGCTAGATTTATTTAAATATCCTTTCCCTCAAAATTTCATATGTTCACTTTGGTGAACATTTATTTTTAAATCTTAAGTATATTTATTTACATCTAAGTACATTTATTTTTATATGTAAAGGTACCATAATTATTCTCCTTAATGTGCCTTTTGCTAAATTTCTTTTACTGCGCTACTCTAATCCAAAACTCAACTCAATCTTTGTCACACTCATTAAACAGGAAAAAGAAGATAAAAATAGGAAATCTTATTCATATAAAGGAGGAAAAAAATCTGTAAGGTAAATAAAAAAGAACCAAGCATTTTAGAATAAGAAAACTTGAAACTTTGGGTATAGATAATGGGTATCTGTAATTTTAGTGAGCAAAAGCTTAAACTTTTGAATTCTCCATTTTATAGAGAAGGGTCTGAGGGATTCTAGAATTACCTCCCTTGTCATCTCAATTCATCCCTGACCAGTATGCTCAATAGAAGGCAATTATGATGTACCTGTGGGGCACCATACATGTAGAGTACAAGAGCTTCTTGCTTAGGGATCACACACCAAGCTTTTTGCCAGGGCTTGGACTTTTCCATATACTGAAGAAAGCTGCATATGACACTGTTTCCAGAAACCTCTGCTGATTCAATCTGTGAATATGTAGCAAACACAACAAAAGGAGATAGAAACGTATTATCCTCTAAGTATAGATATAGACACTAAGCCAGATAGAGAAACAACTTATAAAAATATAAATCAAAATCTTTAGAAAATTAATAATTAACAAAATAAATTTGCTAATGAATTAATGAAATTATTTAAAAATGTCTCACATATCTATCCCCAAATGAACACAATTCTGCTAAACACCCAAATATACATCAATAAGGCAAGGATCTGTGATTAGGTTGGAAGTGACTCTTTCCATTGACATAACTATAATTTAGTAGTTAAGTTGCTTAAAGTGTTGCCTGAGCCTCAGAGAAGTTAAGTGACTTGTTCATGGTCACACAAGTGGGCATCACTGATAAAGTTTGAACCCAGGTCTTGCTGACTCCAGGTCTAGCACTCTATTTACCACAGCATGCTGTATTTCCTAAACAGAATTAATGGAAATGGAAAGCATTTTTAATAGTTCAAACACTTCATCTTTTCTACATATAACATTTGTAGTCAAATATAACACAATATATTTGCAATATATCAGAAATACACATCAGCAACATATCACGAGGATCATATATTATGACCTGGTGGGATTTACACCAGGAATGTGTGGCTGGTTCAATATTAAGAAAACTAGAAGCATAACTGGTCCTATCAATAACAAAAAAATTTTATCATTATGTCAATAGATGCAGAAAAAGCTTTTAACAAAATACAACATCCATTCCTATTTTTAAAAAAAGCTAGAAAGCATAGAAAGAAATGGAGCCTTTCTTAAAATGATAAGTAGTGTCTATCTAAAACCATGAGCAAGTATCATCTGTTGTGAAGATAAACTTGAAGCCTTCCCAATATAATCAGAGTAGCAAGGATGTCCATTATCAACACTATTATTCAATACTGTATTCGAAATGCTAGCTATAGCAATAAGACAAAAAAAATTGAAAAAAAAATTCACAAAGAAGAAATAAAACTATCACTCTTTGCAATGATATGATGGTATATTTAGAGAACCCTAAAGAATTAACTAAAAAACCAGCTGAAACAATTAACAACTGAAGAAAAACTGTAGGATATAAAATAAATCTACATAAAATCATCAACCTTTCTATACACTATCAACAAAACCCAGCAGCAAGAGGAAAAAAAAGAGAAATTCCATTTAAAGTAACTGCAGACAATATAAAATAGTTGGAAATCTACCTACTAAGAAAAACTCAGGGACTATATGAACACAATTACAAAACACTTTTCACACAAATAGAGATCTAAATAATGGGAGAAATATTAATTGCTCATTGGTAGGCCAAGCCAGTATAATAAAAATGATAATTCTACCTCAACTCATTTACTTATTCAGTGTCATACCAATCAAACTACCAAACTATTTTATGGAGCAGAAAATATACTAACAAAATTCATCTGGAAGAGCAAAAGGTTGAGAATATCAAGGGAATCAATGAAAAAAAAAATGCGAAGGAAAGCAGCCCAGCAATACCAGATTTTAAACTATGTAACAAAAGAGTAATCATCTACGATTTGGTACTGGCTAAAAAATTAGAAGGGTAAATCAGTGGAAGACTAGGTACACAATACACAATAGTAAATAACTATAGTAATTTAGTGTTTGATAAACCCAAAGATCTAAGCTTTCAGGGTAAGAACCCATCATTTGACAAAAATTGCTAGGAAAACTAGAAAGCAGTTTGGCAGAAACTAGGGATACACCAACATCTCACATCATATATTGAGATAAAGTCAAAATGGACAAATGATTTAAACATAAAGGGTGATATCATGAATTAGAGGAGCACAGAAAAAACATACCTGCCAGATCTATGAATAAAGGAAAAGTTTATGACCAAATAAGTGATATCTGGACCATAAGAAGTAAAATGAATAATTTTGATTATATGAAGTTAAAAAGTTTTTGCACAAACAAAACTAATGTAGCCAAAATTAAAAGGAAAACAGGAAACCAGGGAAAAATTTTATAGCGAGTATCTCTGATAAACGCACCATTTCTCATAGACAGAGAACTAAGTGAAATATATAAAAATATGAGCCACTCCTCAATTGGTAAATGGTCAATGTCACATGAAAACAAATACTCTAAATCACTTTTGATTAGAGAAATGCTTTCAGAAAGCATTTGAGAAATGCTTGAGAAAAAACTCTGAGATACCACCTCGTACCTAATCCAATTGGCTAACATGACAGAAAAGAAAAATGAGACATTCTGAGGGGGTGGGGACATGGGAAAGTTAAAAGACACCAATGCACTGCTGGTGCAGTTGTCAACTAGTCTAATCATTCTGGAGAATAATTTGGAACTATGCTCATCTATAAAACTGTGCATACCTTTTTACCTAATAATACCACTACTAGGTCTGCATCCCAAAGAGATCAAGAAAAGGGAAAAGGGCCTTTTGTATAAAAAATATTTATAGTAGCTCTTTTTGTGGTGGCATAAAATTGGAAATTGAGGGGATGCGCATTAACTGGGGAATGGCTGAACAAGTTGTAATATATGATTGTGATGGAACACTATTGTGATGGAACACTATTATACGATAAGAAATGACAAACAGGATGGTTTCAAAAAAACATGAGAAGACTCCTATGAACCCTACAGTCTTTTTCTTCCTTTCTTACAATTTTTTTTATTATATAAATTAACAAAATGTCTTCTTTTTCCCCAGTATTCCCAAGAACAAAAAATTCAGAAGGACAGGCCTGCTGGAAAAATCCAGTCACAATATGATGAATAACTGAATTCTTATGAGAGCAGTTAATTGAAATGTGGCAGCTTACGGGGATTAAGCCAGATATAAACCTAAGGAGATCCTGAGACAACTTAGTGACTCATCAGAACTTGGAACACAAGCTAATGTCATAATTTCCTTAATCTAATCCTTATTGGATATTTCTCACAGAGACTAATTGTTGAAATAACTGTGTGCGTGACTGGAGAATAGGGGAGGTCTCATCAGTGGTCTTTAGGGCTACTTTCCTCTCATTTTCATTGGTTAAAAATACAATAGAGCAGAACCAATGGGTGTACAATTATTTCTTTTTCCCAAAGTGAAGTGATCAGAACCAAGAGTACACAGTGACAGCAATATTGCAACTGTGAAAGAATTAGCTATTCTGATCAAGACAATGATATAACACAATTTCAAAGGATCCATGATGAAAAATGCTATCCACCTCGAGAGAGAACTGGTGACTTCAGAGTACAAACTGATGAATACTTTTTTTTTTTTTACTTTATTTTTCTTATGGATGGACGTGTTTTCTTCTGCAACATGGCTAATATGGAAATAAAAAAAATTACTCCATATTTGTAATGTCATATATGCTTTTGTAAGTAGACATGACTGAGAAGGGAGAGAAGAAAACAAACATTTATTAAGCACTTACTCTGTACCAGGTATTGTGCTAAGAACTTGACAAATATTATCTCATTTGATCCTCACAACAATCCTGGAGATATTATTATAATCTCATTTTATAGTTGAGGAAACTGAGATAGACTTGGTAAATGTCTTAGGCCATCTTTGAACTCAGGTCTTCTCGAATCCAGATCCATTACTATTTGTCATTAAAAAGTTTAAATAATATATAAGAATGAGACTCCCATTTTTTCATCATACCTCTAAGATTCCTTTCCTTTTCTTTTCTTCACTGTCTGTGCATCCAGTTATTATTTGATAGCAGTCTTTACAAATTTTGTTCCATTTACCACCATCATATTCAAGTTGAGCTTTATAGTCGGAACATTTCCAACAGACCACCTTAAAAACAAGGAAAAAAAGGAATAGCAATCATAATCACAGACTACTGCTATTTCTTAAGCAGAATTCCACTACAGCTAATAGTAACAGCTAAGAAGAATTTAAATATTTGCTGCAAAACAAATGATGGTTGAAAAACCCATTGATTTTGTTATATAATGTGAAAAATTAGGTTTTTATGTAACTAATACCCTAATTTTCTAATGAAAGTTTATCTAACCTAAACAGATAGATCAATACGTTAACAAGGGCTTACTCTAAGTAAAAGGTATTGCTTCTCTCACTGTTTATAAGAAGAAAAAATATCACAAAACCCTATTACTTCAGTAATGGATCTTGTTCTTTTTTCAAGAGGATCGATAACATCACAGGGTGATGTCTTGATTTGTAAGTGAATTGGATTTAAATGAGGCAGAGTTGCACAAAGTCATCAGCTTCACTCACTCTTCCAGAGTCATTGAAGTCCAGTGACAAGACAAAGGTGAACATGACTGGCAATGGCCTGGGATGCACTGGGTTACCCTGGTGTCTCTGATGTCTGACCAAGCCGTAAGCACTCCACAGCGCCTGCTTCAGCTGCTTTTGTGGCCATTGGAACAAACTGCTCTCATCTGCCCATTCTGCCAGGGGAAGTCTTCATATGCTTGGGGTAGACATCCTCCTAACTCACTGAGAGGTTTGAGGCCTATTGGTACTCTTAATATGGTTAACCTTAACTTTAGCCTGCATGCTGAGATGGTTTTACTGGAGTGTGGCTGCTGTGTATGCTCCAGCTTCTTGGAACCACAGCTGGGAGTTGGGTGAAAGGCAGACACCCAAAAGTAGATGAGCAACCCTGATAAAGCCTCAGCAAGCCCTTGCACTAGAAGTGCTAGTCCTCCCTGAACACCACATATATCCAGTAATAGAACTATATGTTTCTTGAAAGGCAGTTTCTACCTGGCACTATCAGGGAGGTAAGGTGGCTACTGTGGTAAGACCAGCATTTTCCTAATAAAACTTCCTTTGACCTCCTGCTTCCCTGACACAGTTTCTTGGTCTAGTGGTAATAAAAAGTCCCAGTAATTCAGAGTCTGGGCATCTCCGACTGGGTGGGTGCCTAAGACCTCAGGAGTTACCAAACCCTGACTGACCAGATGCATTTCTAGGTGGAGACAAGATAGGCCATGTCCAGAGAACCTAAGTCCTATGGTGTCTGTGTTGTTTCTGTGTCAGGGCAAAGTAAGCCTCCTCTGTAAATGTTCAGTGACAAATTTAACATTCTGTATTACCTTTGAGCTCAGTTGTAGAGCTAGAAAATAAACAGACTCTAAGAAGATGTTTTTGAGAGATGTCATTCTAATATTTAAGCCACCTCACCAAAAAGTTTAGTCAAAACTGAAGTTTTGTATCGAGAAAAGAGAAAGAAATCTACCATATAAATTTCTTAAATACTCCATAAACATTAGTTGCTTGAAAGGATATGATATGTCAGTCAGTCAATAAGCATTTATTAAACACTTACTATGTGCTAAGCAGATTGATGGAGATCAATTTGAAAGAATCTTTGACAGTGGACTTGGTAATTATAGCTACAGTAAAATTTTGTTTTTTAATTTAATGTCTTCAAATTAACATTAACATAATGACTAGGGTCCTGTACATGCTATCCTATTGTCATTGGCTTCAACAGGCCAATTAAATTCATTTGCTGTACTCTAATAGAATTCTGCTGTATTGACCACTCTTTGAAAAAGGTGGGCATTGGTTGGTTATCTTTTTTTTTAACATTATATACATATGAGTTGACCTTAAAATATTTTACAGTACAATTTGTTTAATGAAAACTGAATATAATCAATCGATATTCATGAACACTTGGCATGTCCATATATAATAACAGAGGTGTGCACCCAGGCATTTCCTTGAGTACTCAGTGCCATCCATAATGAAGCCTTTATTCCAGTACTGAACATGTTTTCCTATACAAGGTAGAAAAATACCCATCGACACCAGAGAAGGATTGATAGAGTCATGACAAGTCTTATACCTGAGCCATGCTGTTGGACTTGAACTTTAAAAGGGAGAGCAGACACAGTCAGAGATGGAAAGAACCAGAGCTTAGGCAACTAGGTGGCACACTGGATACAGTGCTGGGCCTGGAGTCAGGAAGACTCATCTTCCTAAATTCAAATCCTGGCCCTAAACACTTATGTGACCTTGGGCAAGTCACTTAACCCTCTTTGCCTCAGTTTCCTCATTTGTAAAATGAGCTGGAGAAGGAAATAGCAAACCATTCCAGTATCTTTGCTAAGAAAATTCCAAAAGGCGTCTTAAAGATTTGGACACAGCTGAAAAACTGAACACAGACAGAAGCTTGAACTAGTTAGTGCATCACTATGAACCTCCAAGGAACCACATAACCCAGAAGAGAGGAGGGAATTAAACGGTCTCAGAAATAACAATGGAGTAATAGATGATTTCTTGGATAATGGACCCAAATGCTTTCTTCTTTTAGGAGGGCAGGTTCGTAAAGCTGGAAGTACATGTATGTGCTTCTGGGACAGAATAGCAGAAAGGTTGATAGAATCAAGGAGAGGAGATACTAGACATGCGAATGTCCAGGACCAAGTAGTAACTGGAACTCTGGGTATTCAGGTGGAGGGGGGTAGGAGATGGATATAGTAGGGGCAGGAGAGTAAGCAAATAGCAAAAAACTGAGCTGAGAAATGGAAGAGTAATCCCAGAATTTGTCTTCACTAGCACTGTGAATTATGTGAATTCTGAAGAGTCTGAAAAAGGCTTCAAATTTCTATTGACCTTATTTTTTCCCCTCTCTGGGAGATCCAATGAGAATTGTACTGGATGATTTTTAACAATTCTTGGGAAGATAGGATCATGAAGGGGCAGCTAGGTGGCGCAGTGGATAGAGAACTGGCCCGAAGTCAGGAGGACCTGAGTTCAAATCCAGCCTCAAACCAAACACTTGACACTTACTAGCTGTGTGGCCCTGGGCAAGTCACTTAACCCCAGTTGCCTTAAAAAAAAAAAAAGATAGGATCATGAAAAGAAGAAGTGTTACCTTTCTTTTGACCCTAAGTCTTGGCAAAGAGATATCAACACTAGACACTTGGAGAAGGAAATGGCAAACCACTCCAGTATTTTTGCCAAAAAAAAAAAAAACAAACCAAAAAAAAAAAAAACCAAACAACCTCCAAATGGGGTCACAAAGAGTCAGACATGATTGAAAATGACTGAACAACTACTCAATATTACGCCTATGGGGAAGGTGGAAGTACACATGCAAGAAAAAAAAAAGAACCATATTTGCTGATAGCAAGTGCTTTAGTGGAAAAGATACTGTACCTGGATTCAGGAAAGATCTGGGTTCAAATCTAGCTTAGGAGTTGTGCGAGAAATTTCAAGCCTCAGTTTCTTATGGAATGGGAATAATATTTTCTGCAATACTTACTTCATAGGACTGTGGTGAGGATAAAATGAGATAATGTATATAAAGTACTTTGCAAAAATTATTATTGAATACTAGGTTGCAGCCTATTTCAGCCTATCATTTGTCTCTCCTCAGCCACCTGAAATTTTGATTCTTTGGAGACTGATGTTTCACAAATTTTAGCTGAACCAATACTGGTATTTTTTTCAAAAGACAAGTTTCTGTTTCAAGAAGGAGTTGGTATTGTTGAAAGTGCTACCTAATTTCTATAAAGTAATCTAGTCTATCTTCTCCTGTTCAATTATGCACCTCTAGCTCATTGATTATTGGCAGTGTCTGTTACCTAACTATATCACAGTTAATATGGAAATGGACAACAGGTTTTTTTGTTTAGACTACTGAGCCAAATTGGAGGGGCTATATAGTATTCCAGGATTTGTAACAATTAACAGAATGCCATTTGCAAACAGGAACATGTGGTGGACCTCATAAGCATTAAGAATTCCACTTCTCATTCCATACATATATCCTCTAAACAGCTTTGTTAAACTTATGTTTCTCTGTCTTTTGCCTTAGTTGATACTGATAATCAGAGGATCATTTTTTCCTGGGTAATTTAATCATTTTATTAATAATGCCAGCATTTTAGTAAGGATGGTCATTTGGCTGTCTCTCTTAGACCAAAGATCAGAGGATTATATTTAAAAGTTCTGTTGTTATATCTAGCAGGAAATCTTGCATGTTCTTAACATGTGCATGGGAGACACCCTGATAGACAGCCTTAAAGATTAAAATTTGTTCTACTGAATCAAAAAAAAATTTATAATAAGGGTCAGGGTTTTGACCCCATCCCTGAATAGCTGTACTGAATCAATAAAAAGGTGCAAATTAGTGCAAACAAATTCTTAATCAATTTGCTCGTAGTTACTATTATCTTTCTGATAGTCTTTTTTTTTTAATACCGATATTGGCTGATCAATCAGACAATATCAATCAGTATCTTCTCTTTCAGATAACTTAGAAATTGATCCATCAGTGCTCTCAAAATTATGTCACTTCTTTCTTGCAAGTCTATCTTCTATGATATTGTACTCCATTCATTCTTCTATCTCTCTGTCTTCTTTTCAGTCTTTAATGGGTCATCTTTGCTCTCTTACCTTCCTTAAAGATGTAGATTATTGCTTTTTCTTCTTTCTCTAAACCATTCCCACCTTGCTACTAATAAACTCACATGACTTCAAATATCACCTCCCAAATTTATACCTCCAGTCATCAATGACCCTACAATGCCTATAGAATAAAACCTAAATCCCATAAAAGGGTATTTAAGGCCCTCAATTATCTAAAGGTACCTACTGAACCACCTTCTACTCCCAACATACTGCTCCTTTCTACCTAGTTAGATTGGACTATCAGAGGTTTTGTAGACATTCCTGAATGATCCCACTTTCCTCCTTTTGCTAAAGTTGCTCCTTTTGTTTAGAATGACCACTGTTCTATCCCATCCTCACTGTACCTCTGTCATTTGTTGAAATTTCATCCATATTTCAAGATACAGCACAACTGCAATTTTCTTCACAAACTCATCCAGCCAGAAAGAAGTGATTTCTCTTTCCTCTGTATTCCCATGGCACTTGATTTGTTCTTCTCTTATGATATTTGTCCTTCTTTTACACCGTAGTACCTTTATCTATCTCTGACCTTCTGTACTGAGTCATAAGCTTGACAGAAAGAACCAGATCTTTACCTTTCCTGTGCCACCCAGCAGAGTGTCTTGTATAGAAAAGTGATTGTTAATACTGTGCTCTGTGTTGCTTTTTTGGGGGGAGGGTGACGAGGCAATCTAGGTTAAGTGACGGCAAGGTCACACAGCTAGTGTCAAGTGTCTGAGACTGGATTTGAACTCAGGTCCTCCTGACTCCAGAGCTAGTGCTGTGTCCACTGTGCCACCTAGCTGTCCTTGTGTTCTACACTGATAACACAAGCCTGCCAGAAACAATTTTTATTAATTTACTATTATCCTAAATTCAAAAATTGCTTGCCTTGAGAGAGAAATGTCCAAACTGACAAGAGTCCACTCGTGACTTTGGACATATCTCTCAAGTAGAACCATGCTTGAATTCAGAATAAAGATAATTTAATAAGAATTTATTTGGGAGATTTGTGCCTGCAATGCAAAATACAGTAAGTTTTCCTTCCACAATCAAATGGTGACATACATAGGATTTCAACATTTAAACAGATGCCAGGAAGGCACAGTACCACTCATCTCTGAATTGCTGTATTTCCCATTAATTGAGGTAAAAGACCTTTTGAAATTTATAAGAGGTTTTTTGGATCAGAGCTTTCCATTCTTACTGACATATCATTTAGGACTACAGAATCTCACCATTTAGGGGAAAGGCCAAGCACATTTAAACACACTGGGAAGCTAGGAGGTGCAGTGGATGGAGTGTAGGGGCTGGAGTCAATATGACTTTGTGAGTTCAAATCTGGCCTTAGACACTTTGATCCTGGGCAAGTCACTTAACACATTCAGTTTCCTCATCTATAAAACGAGCTGGAGAAGGAAATGGCTGATCACTTTAGTATCTGTGCCAAGAAAACCCTAAATGGGGTCATGAAGAGTTGGACATAACTGAAATGACTGAACAACAATAAAATTAAACATGCTAAGAAGTATGTGTGCATATCTCTTTTTATAGCCTACTTGTACATTGCAAACATAAAACTATGTCGGTACAAACTCTTCCTTTTAACAGTTAAAAGTCACTTAATTCAGTCTGGGACTAAGCCATTTTCAGTCTCACTGGACCACGGATGATCTGAAAGCAAGGGAAAGCGGCCCATTTTATTCTTTTACTGGAATGTATTTCTAACCTTCTTCTTAGCACCAGATAGTATATCACACCTGGAACCAGTGGCTCAGTCTATTGGGAAGAGCTTAATTGCTCCCAATTCCTCTAAGAATCCCATGAACTTCATTACTCTCTGTCCAGGAACCACTAATTGGTTGCTAGAATCTGGTTTTATTCACTGCTTATTTTAGGTTTGTTTAACATATATGAACTTTTGTTTTGTTCAGGGATATAAAGGCCTACTTGGAGTGACTTACTTCAAGGTTAATGGAACCTCCAAAATAAAGAGAGGTATATGGCAGCAAGGTCATAAGAACCTCCCCAAAGGTACCTGACAGCCTTTCAAGAGATCCTCCTGACCATCAAGAAGTGCTTGATTCTGGTTCAAGTTACCCTCCTATTTGGTAGTGTTTAACAATAAGGTCACAAGAAACACTGTGAGTGTGTGTGTGTGTGTGTGTGTGTTTGTTTTAAATTTTGCATAATTTGGTTTCAGTATAATTGATTACCTTTGTAACACTACATATTATTTTATGCATTTAAAACAACATTCTGAGGAGTCCATAGGTTTCACCATACTGCTAAAGGGATCTATGACATAAAAAAGGTTAAAAACCACTGCACTAGAGAAATGAAATGTTCAAATTTTTGGCAAAATGAATTGCCTAAAGTTTTTTTTAAAAGAAGGATCCTTTGATCTAACTTAAGAGTGCACTCAATGGTTGTTGCAAAGGAAATGTATTTCGTGTGAATCTATGTCGATACTTGTTCAGTAAAAAAGCTGCTCAAAACCCTAACAGAACTGAAGTCAACTTAAAAATGTTATTCTCTGGTGACTCTAAAGGAGAGAAGGGGTGAGGATATGTCTAGAAAGTTAACCTGTAGAGGTCTTTTTTTTTTGAATCAGACTAATAAGTCAATTTCATCAGTCTTGGGAACCCTGCCGTATCAGTATAGCTCTGAACTTTTCTCTCCAATTTGGAGAAAAGTGGCTTTATGACCTTAAGAAAAGGATTTGCCTCCAAAACAAAGAAAAAAAGTTACTTTTGAGAAAAAAAAACACTTTCATTTTATAAGAAGAGTTTGATTTGCCTAAACACAGGGAGTGATTTGGCAGAATTTAATTGTCAAGAAAATCAGAAGCTTTGGAAGTCACCTTGGAAGAATTAGAGTAGACCGTGCATTTGCAATTTCTTAAGCTAAAAACTAAACTAGAAATGTCACAGAAATACAAACTGTAAACTTCCTAGTTTCATCTATGATCATAAGTTGCTAACTGGTTTTTAAAAAGACAGATTCAATAGGAAAAAAAAAGATAGATGAAAGCAGAGAAGTGTAAAGTTATTATATTAACAATATATCAAAAGAAAGCAAAATATTGCATATACTAAAGGTTTGTTGAATTACAACTATATCTGCATGGTTAGCCAAAAAAAAAAAAACTCCAAAAAACCAAAAACCTTGAAGAAATGTTATTACAGAAAAAAATTATCTAGCAATGACGATAGCATACCCATTTCAAAAAAAAATAATACAAAAGGAATTCTTTCAGAAGAAAAAGTTTTGATGATCTTTAATCTTAGCACAATCACAGAAGACACTTGTTTTCAAGTGTTACTAAAAAAAAAGTTCCCTTATCAATTATTTATTATATGATCTATTATAAAAAGAAACCTCTCTCCTCTGGAGCAATTGGGGTCCAGGAGATGGCCAGTAATAAGATGATCATCAAGTGACAAACTGGTACTTACATGTCCACATGCTCGGCAATGATGTCTTCTCCTTGTCAGTGCATTAAAAGATTCTTTGCATTTCATACACATTGTTACTTCATTGTCTCGAATCCATCTTGGGGCCCTTTTCCCAAGCTCAGCAGTCTAAAAAGCCAAGGGACCCAATTGTGCAATATTTTAGTAGAGAAAATTACTATCCCCTCCCAAGGGACAGTACCATTAACAACACTATTGCACTGTTCAAACCACAGTTCTGAAATTCAATGTAAAGAGATATCCTAAAGACTTCAGCTAAAAAATGTATGGGAAGGTCACTCAGCAGGGCAATTATAAAAAAAAAAAAAAGAGAGATACTGACTAGAAAGCTTGTTCTGACATTGCATAGGAAAAGAATTTGCTAAAAAACAAACTAAAAACAAAAACAAAAAACCCCTACCTTACTTTGTAATTCCAGTACCCTGGGAATCCAAAGAAAGTATATGAAGCTAGCCCTTAGCAATAATCATTTGCAAAAAAAAAAACAAAAAAAACAAAAAAAACAAAAAAAATTGTTAAGAACTTACAGAAACCTCCAAGTGCATATCATTATCTTTTGCTATAGCATTTCTGAAGGTTTCATTCCTTTGATGGAAAGCTTCAATAGTATTTTGAAGTGCCTAAAAATGTAAAAAATTCAAAATGGACATTAAAGAATATAATGCAATGCTGATGAAAACACAAAAAGAACAAAATCTAGTACAGTAATACCCTCCCCCGCCATTAAATAAATAGTTCCAATGGACATCACATTCACTAATGGTTAAATTTGTATTATCTCGGCATATATAGTGAATATGGAAAAGTTAAAATGAAGATAAGGAATCATGTTTACCTTGATCCATTCCTCTTTGTCTTGCTCAGAACTAAAAAAAAAAAATTGGCAAAGTTTAAAATGAATTCAGAAAATATAAATGAGTTACAACTGGTGAATGCAACTAAGCTTACTGAGATATATTGATCCTATTCCCAAATTTCCAGAAAATTTAGTGATGAATGGCAAAGGGTCATAATAAAAATTTAACATATCTCTGGCAATTCAACAAAGAAAAATTTTTTAAAAAGAATTTCAACCTATTCACTTACTTAGTATAGACAGTCCTATAGGTGGGAGGAAGGGGATTGTACAGTGAATTTATTTCTAGCTTCTACCATTGCACTCCTATAAAATGAAATTGCCATCAAATAATCTCTCCTAAGTGACCTTACGTACATGGCACCATAACAGGAATCTCGATGCGTAGTGTAGTGTAGCAGAGAATGCACTTGTTAGAGTCAGAGAACCTGGTTCAAATTCTGGCTATTATTACCTACCTGGGCAATTCATTCAAAGTCAATTATTTGTAAAGTGAGGAAGCTCAGGCTAGATGATAATTGATCTCTTGGATTCCTTCCAGCTCTAAATCTATGAACTCATGATCCATCAACCTATTCAATACTGGGAATGATAAAGTCTACAGTGACCAACCAGTTCAAGAGCATTTATTTAAAAAAAAATCCTCAAGAAAAATACAAAATAAAACAACAGTTTATTTACACAGGCATCTTTTTATTTTTTTAAAGGCAATTGGGGTTAAGTGACTTGCCCAGGGTCACACAGCTAGTAAGTGTCTGAGGCCAGATTTGAACTCTGGTCCTCCTGACTCCAGGGCTGGTGCTCTATCCACTGCACCACCTAGCTGCCCCTTACGTAGGCATCTTGGGGAGTTCTTTGTAATATTTCTTTTGTTGTAATATGTAACTAATATTCTGTTTTTAAGTCACACATCAAGACCAAGCTTGAAGAAATGAAATGAAAATGTTTGCTATTTTTAAGTGCTTCCAGAAAGCAGATGATAAATTAGATGATTCAAACATATAATAATAATCACTTCAGGTAAATCCTCTTTAAATCTAACCTGAATTCCATTTGTGACAGTTCAGATCCACCTTATTCTAATTGCTGAGATACCAGAAAATGCCTGCATTGTAAGCCCATCATAAATTCTTTCAAGTCTGCTCTGATTGAAGCAAAAATAGCTATTTTTTAAAAAGCCTTTCCACAAGTTACTTATTTTATAACTCTAAAAGTATTTTAAATTTTGTTCTCATCTCTCTTTCAGCACAAAGTTGATACCCAAAGAAAAACTCAAATACCTATATTTAAATAAACAGTTGGAGAAGGAAGATTTATTTCTTTGCTTGCTAAATTAGAAAACAGAACAAACGTAGCCAACCGCAAGAGTACCTCTTTGGAAGCCCTTACCAACCGGAGTAAGACATAGTTCTACAGTCAAAATTGCAGAGTATAAATCCACCTTTTTTTCTTCCAGGCAGAACATCTTAGACCCCAATTCTTACAATCTTCCTTGGTAATATATTGACTATATATTTTATATTTGTACTACTGATTCTTTTTGCATCTTGACTAAGATTTACAGATTCATCTAAATCATGTTAAAATTTCCTCTCATCATACTCAGCCATATGAGTTTCTTTACATTTCCAACCATGTAACATTACCCTGTCATTCTTTAAGCACCTTTTACTCTTTTCTTTTAGGATATGTCTTTTAGAATATGACTTATATCAATAAGTTTATTGCTATTCTCATTCAATTGTTAATTTTCTAGTCTATCTTCTAAATTTGTTGTTCTTTAAATATCTTCTAACCATACGAAATTCCCTATAGGCGTTCCAGCAGACTCCAAAAGATCTACAGAATGTATTTGGGAAATATTTTCTTCAGCCACTCAATCTTGTGATTTATACAGATGCTTTTTGACTTTTGCCAAAAAGTAATAGTTCACTTACCTGGCCTGTAATTCCAGTGTTCGTTCTTTTCCAGAAACCTGAAATGTGTGTGGGTATTCTTCGTTGTGGGTTTCTACAATTTTCATCCCATCAATACCAACTCTAGTTCGAACTGAGTATTTAGATCCCACCAAGCTGAATTTTGGTACACAGTATAGCAACATGTTGTTGAACTGTAAAAAGGTGAAATACAGAGAAATAAAGCAGAGAAACAAAGAAGTAAAAATGTAGTATTTACTCAGGACTGATTTAAAAACCCATACTTGGACAAAACCCTTAAGGAATATGATACTTTCCTACATAGACAAACTCACTAAACATGACTCTCAAGACTCTGAAAATGTCCCATCTTTTTCCCAGTAACAAAACTTCAGCATTACTTTCAAATCTTTCCTTTCCCTCACCTCTTATAACTAGGTTCTTTCCCTCACCTCTTACATAATTAGAATCCGTAAGTTCTGTGGATTATATCCCTAGTTCTTCTATTCATGGCTCTTTCAGGCCATGTCTCATGAAGATTAATTGAAGGACCTGGGGACATTTAGCATGGATAAGACAAAACTCTGAGAGGAAACATGATGGCTGCTTCAGCTAAGAAGAGCTGTCATGTGAAAGAAGAACGAAATTTGTTCTGTTTGTCCCTAGAGGTCAGAATCAGGAGCAACGAGTAGACTTTTCAAAGAAACCAACTGAAGACTTCCTAGGAAAGAGAACCCACCATCTCTCAAGTAAGTCATTCATTTGCTAAGTTGTACTGTAGCACCCCTTCTCTTCTCTCCATTCCCATGGCCATCACCAAATTTAGGCCTTCACTCTGTTCACCAACCTAGCCTAGTCTAATGGCCTTTATTTAAAAAATGAAATTTTAATAGATATTTTGTTTTTATATAACCTATATTCACAATGTATCCTTCCTTCTTTTCCCTCCCACAGAGCAATCACTTATAACAAAGAATAAAAAAAAGAAATAATTCAGCAATATATAAGATATTGAAAAAATATGACATTATATATAGCTTCCTAAGCAACAGTTTTCTTTTGCAAACAAGGATGTGGGGGTGTGCTCTTCTCTGGGACCAAACTTGGCCATAATTCACAGAATTCAATTTACTTTTTAAATTTATTTATAATTCTATTTTTAAAAAATTGAGTTCCAAATTCTCTCCCATTTCCCCCTCCCCCCCCCACTGAAAAGGCAAGCAGTATGGCATCAATTATACATGTGAAGTCATGTAAAACATATATCCATATTAGCCACATCAGAGCATTCTGTTTCAAATGTTTTGATGCTGCTTTATTTGTACTGTTGTAGTTACTGTGGATATTGTTTTCCTGGTATTGATTACTTCACTCTGCATCAGTTAACATAAGCTTTCCCATGCTTACCTATATTTATATTCGCCATTTCTAAACCATAGTAATGTTGCATTATATCCATATACCACAACTTGCTTAGTTATTCACTAGCTGATGGGCTTTGTTTCTAGTTCTCTGCTACTCAAAAAAATGCAGCTATAAATACATTGGTGTATGGGAGGCTTTTTTTTTTTATTCACCTTCTTGGGGTATATGCCTAGTAGTGGAATGTTCGGGTCAAAGGGTATAGACATTTTAGTCACACTCTTATCAAAACTCCAAAATGCTTTCCAGAATAGTCAGACCAACTCATATGCCCATCAACAGTGTATTAATATACTCATCTTGCTGTAACTCTTCCAACACCAGTTATTTCTATCTTTTGTCATCTTTGCCAATTTTCTAAGTGAAATGAAAACTCAGTTGTTCTAATTTGTTTTTCTCACACTTGTGATATAGAAAATTCTTTCATATGATTGTTAATAGCTTCAATTCTTTTGAAAACTATTTGCTCCATATTTATCCTGGCTATTAGATCCTCATCATAGATTTGATACAAAGGTTGGAGGAGCCCCTTCATGACCTGGTCCCAACCTGTCTTTCTAACCTTATTACTTATTACCCAGCTAAACTGCCCTCATTGCTATTCTTCATATAAGACACTTCACCTCCTTTCTCTGTGCCTTTACACAGCCTGGCCCCCATGCCTGGAATGCACTCACTCCTCACCTTAGTTTCTTAAAGCAAAGGTATCACACTTGCCAGCTGCAAGTACCTACAAAACTCACAAGTACAACCTGAACCAGACTGGAAAATGTTTGACAAATAAACATAAAATAAAATATGATGTTAATTTGTGTGTTTTTTAAGTCAGTATGTGGCCCACAGGGATGATCCATTTCTATCTGAGTTTGACACCAATGTTTTAAAATATCTTGTTTCCTTCAAAATTCTGCTCAAGTACTCCTTCTACATGGAGGCTTTTCTGGTACTCTAGCTTCTAGTGCCCTCTTCAACTGCTATTTATTTTGAATATTCTTATATATGTACATACTGTCTATGCTAGTAGGATTAAGTTCCTTGAGACTAGGGACTATATTTCATTTTTTGGTCTTTGTATCTTTAGTACTTGGCATAATGCCTGATACATATTAGGTACTTAATTGAATTGAATTAACAAGTACAAAATATCTAAAAAGTAATATAATTTCAAGAGAAAAAACTAATAGCTGGGCATGGGGAGGACACAGGTGGAATACATAGATTTAAAAATTCTTGTGTAATATAGAGCAGCTCTTTTAGTGGTGGCAAAGAATTGGAAATTGAATGGATGCCCATCAATTGAGGAATGACTGGCCAACTTATGGTACATGATTGTGCTGGTATAGTGTTGTGCTATTATAAGAAATTATTAGCAGGTTGCCCTCAGGAAAATCTGGAAAGATTTACATGAATTGATGCAAGGTGAAGTGAAAAGAATCAGTGGAACAGTGTCCAAGGTAAAAGCAATACTATATGATAATCAGCTGTGAATGACTTAGTGATTCTCAGTAATACAATGATCTAAGACAGTTCCAAAGAATTTATGATGAAAAATCCATCTCCAAAGAATGAATTGATGGAATCAGAATGCAGATCAAAGCATACTTTTTTTTAATCTTTATTTTTCTTGGGTTTCCTTTCTTTTTTTTTTGGTCTGTTTTCTTTCAGAACATAACTAATATGGAAATATGCTTTGCATGACTGCACATGTATAACCTATATCAAATTGCTTGCCTCCTCAATGAGGGAGCTGCAGAACTTGGCTATTATATTCCTGGGAGTTTTCATTTTGGGATCTCTTGCAGGAGGTGACTGGTGGATTCAATTTTCTATTTTATCCTCTGGATCTGGGATATCAGAGCAGTTTTCCTTAATAATTTCTTGAAAAATGATACCTAGGTTCTTTTTTTGATCATGGTTTTCAGGTAGTCCAATAATTCTTAAGTTATTTCTCCTAGACATATTTTCTAGGTCAGTTGTTTTTCCAATGAGATGTTTCACATTTTCTTATATTTTTAAAATTCTTTTGATTTTGTTTTATTGCTTCTTGATGTCTCATGGAGTCATTAGCTTCCACTTGTCCGATTCTAATTTTTAAAGAATTACTTTCTCCAGTAAGCTTTTGTACTTCCTTTTCCATTTGGCCAACTGTACATTTTAAGGAGTTCTTTTATTCAGTTTATTTTTATACATCTTTTTGCATTTTTCTCTCCATTGGATTTTTGTGCCTCTTTTACTATTTAGCCTATTTTGTTTTTTAAGGTGTTATTTTATTCAGTACTTTTTGTGCCTCCTTTACCAAGTTTTTGATTTTTTCATGATTTTCTTACATCACTGTAATTTCTTTTCCCAACTTTTCCTCTATTATTTGATTTTCAAAACCCTTTTTGAGCACTTCCAGGTCCTAAGACCAATTCATGTTTTTCTTTGAGGCTCTGCACAAAGCAGTTTTGACTTTGTCATCTTCCTGAGTTTGTGTTTTGATCTTCCTTGTCACCATAGTAACTTTCTATAGTCATGATCTTTTCTGTTGTTTGCTCATCTTTCCAGCCTATTTCTCAGCTTCATATTAAAGGTGGGCCCTACTCCTGGGGTGGAGGGGGCACTGCTTCAGGTTTTTTATGCAGCTCTTTTCAAAGGTAGTCTTGGGAGTCTGCAAGCTTTCAGTTTTTCCAAGGTGGTATGGTCTAAGGAGAGGTGTTTACTACTCTCCTGGCCTGTACTCCAGTCTATGAGCAACCACAAGCACTCTCTTCCACCCGGGAACTGTGACCAGGGTCCCTGCTCTCCTACAGTTACAAGCTCTAATGTGCTAATACTCCTCCTTAACAGTATGGGTAATACAACACAGTTCTGCCCCTGGTGCCAGCAAAGAGACCTTTGCAATATCCTTCCAACCAGCCATCTCACCTCCTCACGGTCTCTGTGGGGTGAGAGCTCTGGAAGCCCCCACTGCTGCAGTTGGTTCAGTCATGCCCAAGGCTTGCTGTGAGTTTGCTGGGGCTTGGCCTGGGCTGGTGTAGCCTGAGCTCCACTCTCACCCTGGTGCAAAAGACCTTTCTTGCCAACCTTCTAAGTGGTCTTGGGCTGGAAAATTGTTTCACCCCATCCTTTTGTGGGTTTTGCTCCTCTGTTCTTAGGTGTTGCTTGAAGGGGAATTTGGGAGAGGTTAGGTGAGTCCCTGCCTTTTCTCTACCATCTTGGCTCTGCTGCACCTCCTACCCTTAAAACAAGTTTAAAAGTATAGGCATAAAAGGATGGCCTTTCCTTAAAATGTAGCTAAAACTAAGAACAAGCATTATTTGAAACAAACCGGGGTCTTAGATTCCTGTCTTTGTTATTGTTTGACTATGTCAGAAATAGAACCTATGGCAATAATAGTAAAAGAAATTGAGGAGATGAATAGGTAGCTAGCTGGAGGGTGGACAGAGTGCCAAACATGGAGTAAGCAATTGCTGAGTTCAAATCTGGTCTCAGGCAATTATTTGCTGTATTACCCTGGGCAAGTCACTTAACCTCTTACTGAGTTTCATCACAGCACCTACCTCCCAGGGTTACTATAAGGATAAAATGAAATAACTGTAAAGCGTTTAGCACAGTGGCTAGTACACAATAAATGCTGTATAAATTTAACTATTATTATTACTGTTACTACTAAATACAGTGGGAGGAGGTAAAACCATCTAACAATGTGAAATTTTACTTAGAGAATCAAGGGAAAAAATTAAGATAATTAGTAGCTTTACTAAAGTAGCAGAATATAAAATAAAGTACCCCCAAATTATCAGCCTTTTTGTATATTAGTAACAAAAAAAGGGCTAGAGAAATTTCATTTAAAATAATAAAATGCACTGACTACCTGAGAATTTGCCTCATTTAACAACATCAATGAAATCAAAGGTCCAACCCCATCTCTATTTTTTAACCTATCAAGACATATATATATTATATATATATAAACACTTACATAAAACAAAATTTTTATGAAAATATAAGCCCTAAATAATTAGAGAGATAATCAGTGTTCATGGCTGGATATTATCAATGTAGTAAAAATGATAGTATAATCTATATTGTTCTATTGATCAAATGACTAAAAGGAAGCTGTATAGATTTAGACAAATAAAAATTATATTAGACTAAGGAATAAAAGGTCAAGAATATCAAGGTGTGGCAGAAGCAATGTCTATATATTTACTAGCTGTGTGACCTTGGGTAAGTCACTTAACCTCTGTTTGCCTAGGAGGCAGCTATGTGGATAAAGAGCTGGGCCAGCAGCAGGAAAACCTGAGTTCAAATCTGGTCTCAGACACTTACTAGCTATGTGACCCTGGGAAAGTCACTTAACCTTTGTTTACCATAATCTACTAGAGGAAAAAAATGGCAAGCCATCCAGTATCTTTGCCAAGAAAACCCTATCGACAGTATGTTATATGGGGTCATGAAGAGTTGGACACAACTGATCAACAACAATGGTGTGTTGACAATGGAAGTTTGAATAGAATTTCCACAGCCCTGATGGGTACCACAAGCACAGAGCAGTTGTTTTACCTAAATGACATCCTTTTAAACTTGTCCTTCTTTACATAACTTATCTTTCATTATTTATGCTAAGTAAAGTTGTTTTTACTGCATTTTATGATCCATGAGTGTCTCACAATATTCTAATGCTCAGCAGGAATTATTAAACTGGCCTAAGCTATAGCTACATATGGCCCAGAATACAGGAAATATTAAAGCAAAAACTGGAAAGGAAGGAAAAGTAGACTCAGATTGCTGTATCTCAAACTAAGAAACCAATAATTGTCAAAGACAATTCAATGGAACAGATAAAATAAGACTTAAAAATAAATGCATGTAAAAACCTAGCATTTAATAAACTCAAGATCACAAACTACTAGGGAAAGGAGTCTTTATTTGAAAAGAACTGCTGGAAAAATTCAGATGAAGTAATTTTCAGTGAAAAATAGGTTCATAGATTAGAATTTTATAGATTCTACCAGAAATTCAAAATGCATTAAAAAACTAAATATAAATGTAAACATAATTTTGGACAGGAAAAATTCATATCCAGACAATGTATAGGTAAGATTATAAAAGATAAAATAAACAATATTATTTAAAATTAAAAATCTTTTATACAAATAAAATTATTAAAGCCAAAATCAGAAGGCAGCCCATATATATAACTGATACTTATGATGATATGAACGAATCCTCAAGTAAAGGTTAAATTATTTTCAGTAGACTGTTAAACAAGGAAGTGAATAATCCATTTTAGAAAGATTTTCATAAAAATGCTAAACCAAAGCAAAGTTTTGGTAAGGTTTCTATGACAAAGGCACTCTAGTTTCCCAGGAAAGCACTTATTTAGACCACTTGATTTCCTCAAAATGTAATACAAAGAATGTATTAATATATTTTTTTTGCAAGTAAGAATTCTAATTTCCCAATATGTGTCTGAGAATTTTGGTGTTCCTCAATGCTCCATAAACATCATGATACTTACTAGGAAAAGATAACGTTCTTGAGCTGATGTGTTTCGAGCAGCAAGCTTAAGGATTTGTCCTTCACGTATGAGTTCATTTGAGGGATTAACAATGTCTTCCTCTTCTCCCAACATCTCATAAACCTCTAACAGCTTTTTAAGATTCTCCTAGTGAAGTCAAAGAACAAATGAAAGCTTTAAAAAAATAACCACAATTCATTATTCAGTTTAGCTGGTATTCAAATAACTCAGGAATATTTTTAGTGGAATAAAAAGTTGAGAAATATAGTAATAACTGCTTCATTCCACAGTAAAGAAACAAGCAAACAAATAAAACCCACAAGTAAACTTTGGCAGAATGGGGAGAGTTGGTTGGGTACAGAAGAAAAGCACATCGGCTCTGGAGTCAGAGGACCTAGGTACAAGTCATTTAACTTCCCAGGGTCTCAGTTTCCCCATCTTAAAAATAAGAGAATTGGCCTCTGAAATTCGCTCCAGTTCAAATTCTATAATCCAGCAGTACTAAGAATGAAATTAATCTGTGACAATACATATAGCAGAAAGCAATAATGAAAAATGTGGCCATTTTTATCCTTGTCTGATAAACTGAGTTACTTTTCACGGAGTAGGGGGTAGGCTAACCTCATAGATGGCTAAAGTACAAATAATTCAATAACTAGGCTTTTTCTCTCCTCTCAAAACCACCTACCATTTTCCGTATTGCACTATTGGAATGACTTGCTGCAGTAGAGATAATTTCAAGTGATTCTATATGGAAAGAAAATCAGAAAAGCAAATAAATACGTTTCGTTCTTCCTCATAATGTTGCATTGCTGACTAGTACATAAAAAATACAACAGGAAAGTTAGAAATTTGGGATCAAAGTCATACATGAAGCTCCCAGGTTTAAGGTTAATAGAGCAAGTGCTTTACTTAATTGGAAATCAAGTTCTAATTATCATTTCTTTAAAAATGGGAGTGGATGTGGAAGTACTGTTGTGGAGAGGGCTCTCACTTTAAGATTTATAGCTAATCATAAATTATGAAATTTGCACAGTTTGTCCTCTTCTAAACCTTAGCGAAAAATCAAGTAACTCAAGTTTTGGTGAAATAATTTTCATTGATCCTGTTCTCCATTATCTAAATGTTATATATTGAAGGCTACTGTTAAATGGTACTACATGGTTATCTTACCATGTTAAAAAAAAACAGTTACTTACTTTTAGCATCATTCCAGTCTAGGGAGTCAGGAGGCAATTTCCTTAGATAGTCTTTAAGGAGCATCTCATAACGGGGGATTCGCTGTACAGGTTCTAGCATGTGATGCTGCAGTGTTAAACTCCCACAGATCTTTTGTTTCTGGAAAGAGAAGAGATACTTTAAAGAAAACTTTCTTCATTCATTTAATCTCAAATAAGTCCCCATGTGAAGGGTTTTCATTTGGAGCAACAATAAGGTAGGCAGAAGGGAAGACAAAGTGGAATTTTCAACGTTAGAATTCATGGTGACTAGTAACCATTTCACTATTTCAGCTTAAAGGCTTGATAAAGGCAAATCATAAAATCGTTTTCCAGAGCTTTTTAGCAAGGAACATCTCATTAATGAGGTTCATAGTATACCATAGGGTTGACTTTTTTTTTTTTTTGGTTGAACTGAGTAGAAACAATTTTATAATTAAACGTCAGTGCTTTTGAACTTAAACCATTCTCTCAATACTTGTACCGTCATATTTGAATACATAATTCATTTGACAAAACATTTCTCAGATAAGCCCTTTATCCTTCCTAGAAACTAAAAGATGAAAATTCATTACCCTTTCTTAAGGAACAGGTATGTTAAGAATATCTCCCCCCCGCCCCAGTTAGTAGTTAGCGATGAAGAAAAAAGCTTTCTCTGAGATAATCCCAAAGTTTTCATACAACCATATGAACAACATAGGAGGTCATAAGATTACGGACTAGGAGGGATTTTAGAGATTACTTAGTCCAAGCTTTTCATTATACAATTGAGGAAACTGGAACAAAGAGGTTTAAATAACTTGCCCAAAGTCAGTCAGGTAAATGAAGGGAGGAAATAGGATTTATAACTAGCTCCTCTGAATACCAATCAATGCTTTTCAATTTATTTTTTCACTTTTACTACTAGTGGAAATCTTTTAAAAGTTTAAATGACACAAAAGATTTAAGATAATATAAAAAATTTGGGATCATTATACTAGGTAAATTATCTTAAGAATTAGTGCTATTAATTTTGTTGTAGATTCTACTAAACTGAACTGCTACTTCTGCTTAATAGAAATGTGCAACAGAGTCAGCAAGAGAAAGTATACATAAGGATGTTGCTGGTATTCACAGTGGTATTTCTAAGGTAAAGCAGAAAGGAGTTTCAGTTCAAGTCAGGTAAATGTAAAACCAAATACACACACACACACACACACACACATATATTCAGTACATATGTATTGCTATGTATATATTGTCTCCCCCTTTAGAATATGAACTCTTTGAGATTAAACATTATCCTATATTTCTTAGTATTCCCAGCACTTAGCAAAGTGCTTTGCACTTAGTAAGCATTTAATAAGTGGTTTTTTTGGGTTAGGCAATGGGGTTAAGTAACTTGACCAGGGTCATACAGCTAGTGAGTGTTATGTGTCTGAGGCTGGATTTGAACTCAGATCTTCCTGACTCCAGGGCCAGTGCTCTATCCACTGCACCACCCACTGCCCAGTGTTTTTTCATTCATCCATTCATTAATGAAGTACTTTTTAGGACACAGAATAAGACTTTAAAAAATATTTATATCTAAGGTTTCCCTTTTTTCTTGCCTATGGCCACTATTTCTTTACAATATAGATTCCCAGTCTCTCATCCCTTCCTCTTTACACTACATAAAGGTACTTCTCCTATTGCAACTGAGCAGTGTTAGTCTCAATTTTTGATTCTTTCAACTTTAGGAACAGCATTAAGAAGATACTCATGATCACGCTTTCATTAATCAAGCAAAAGAAAGAATTAAGGGGCAGCTAGGTGGCGCAGTGGATACAGCACCGGCCCTGAAGTCAGGAGTACCTGAGTTCAAATGTGGCCTCAGACCAAACACTTGACACTTACTAGCTGTATGACCCTGGGCAAGTCACTTAACCCCAATTGCCTCACCAAAAAAAAAAAAAGAAGAAGAAGAAAGAAAGAAAGAATTTGATGAATCTAAACCAAAAAAAAAAAGTATTTTGAAAACAATAGCATATATGAGAGGCACAGTGGACAGCTAGCCAAGAAAACATGGATTCAAGTCTTGCCTCTGACATACACTGTTTGTCACACTAGTACAGTCAATTAACCTCTCAGTACTCCAGGCAACTGTGAGACTGTTGCAGAACATCTGTGCTGATCTGTATTAGTAGAATATTTCATGTTCAAAAACAAAAAATTAAGACCATATATAAACTTATTTGTCAAATCTTCAGAGGAGAATAGTGGACATTATGCACAGTGTCACCTTATAAAACAAGAAGCAGTGGAAGGAAAAACAATTTTATAGAAACCTTGAAAAAAGACTCAACTAAGATCACTCTATGGCTGTTAAGAATAAAACCAGAAGGAAGGTAAAGAATGGAAAATATTTGTCAAGATTTCTATAACAAACTACTCCATCGGTGATGGTAGATTCTATTCTATTCACAGCCCTGTTGAGTTACAGGTAGAAAACAGCACTAAAGAAAAAAAAGAGATGTGAAGAGAACCTAGACTAGTCAGAGGTCTGTGCTGCATGTGACACAATTTTGAAGGCAAGGAGTAATCAGTTCTCAAGAAGGACATCAAATTTACAGTAGAAAAAAATCACAGACTTCAGTATTAACAAAAATAAAAAAATAACAAAAATAATCAACCCACACACCTTCCTCCCTCCTATATTGAATGGACACTCTTGTAGAAGATCCGTAATTGTCATTATGGAGAGATGGAAAAGAGATCCCACATCAATTACATAACAGATCCACTGAAGAATCAAAGTATATATTAAACCTATTTGATAATTATAAATAATGTTACATTATATAGCACTTTAAAGCTTACAAACCCTTTTTACATACATTAAGCTGAGAATTATAGCCTGGCCAGAAAGTACACTTGTCTTAAATTTTTTTTTTTTAACATATCTGATCAAAGAATAATGTGTCAAATGGAAATTATGGTAGTTACAGTACAGTACACATTTGACAAAATAGGAAAGAATAACACACTGCACAATCAATCAGTACAAACTAGAAATACAAATGCAAAAACAGATCATCTCCATCCTCAAAGTGTTTATAATCTATCTGAAGTGACCAAAAACAATATTACAAGCACTATTTCTTTTTTTTTCATTTTTTATTTATTAGGCAATTGGGGTTAAGTGACTTGCCCAGGGTCACACAGCTAGTAAGTGTCAAGTGTTTGGTCTGAGGTCGGATTTGAATTCAGGTCCTCCTGACTTCAGGGCCGATGCTCTATACACTGCACCACCTAGCTGCCCTACGAGCACGAGTTCTGTGTAAATCATGTAAGATTTAAATGTTCCACAGTTATTCTGATAAACTAACCTGTAGACTAGAGGCCAGAAAGGGATCAACTGAATATAGTGTTTGACATATAGTAGAAGCTTAATAAATATTTGCTGGCTGATTTATGAGGAAATATTATGCAAATTTATAAAGGAATGGGAAAAAATTAACTTTCTTTGCTACAAGAATGGATAATAGAAAGCATTTTTTATTATTCTTAAGAGTTCCTAGTGAGAAATGATTCATTTGAACCCCTACTCCATTTCAATCAGTATTAATCAGTTAAGTGTGATTCCATAAAGGGTAGTGATTATTAACAATTATTAGTAACATAATCATCTAGCAATGTGCATTTAGTCAGGCATCTAACAATAGTATAAGAATAAACATGTATTCATATATATTTTACATCAATCACACAGAGATAAACTGGACAAGATAGGTTCTTATAGTAGGCCTCAAATTTTGATCTAACAGTCACCACTTGTTTACCAGTTATGGAGTTCACTTGCACAACCACAAGAATGCTGACAAAGATATCTCCATCCTGTTTTCCTCAAATCTATGTCTAAACCCAGCATAGGTGGCATGACCTGGAAAGTCCACCAATTTGTTTATGACTCTCTGGAACACCCTTCTTTTGTCCAACATGAGCAGGTGACCATCTTATGACCACTTAGTCAGGAGAAATGATACTTGCCTTGCCAATTTTGTGACCACCCATGCTGATGCATCAATTCTGGCCCTCCTGGAGAGTCAAAATCAAAGTCTAATAACCAATGAGATTCTGTATTCATGCCTTATGTGCAGACCCTGGGAAAAGGAGGCATCTCAGATTATGAGGAAGATCTGAGGTCCACTTCATTAGAGGGAGCTGTGGACCCTTTAATGAAGTATTATTGGCTTAGAGCTCTACCTCAGTGGTTTTTCTTGCAGATTGGACACTTCTGGACCTCACAACCATCAGGGAACGGGAAAAGACTCAAAACTGTATAGCTGAAAGAGATCTTTCATTTTTTAACAGTCCACTATAGCAAGAAAAATATTTATAGACTTGACAACCCTATTACCTGAATTTCTTCAATTACTGATTTAAATTGAGGTATCCGTTCAGTCATGGTTTTAACCAATTCCGTTGCATTATCAAAGCCTTTCACATACTCTCCATACATTTTGAGGAAAGGAGCCAATTTCTGTAGGATGTCACCAATTCTAGGAGTAGTTTCCCTGTAGAACAAAGCAGTAAATGGATTATTAAGCTCTCTTATACTTCCAGCAAATTAAGAAAATGGTAGGGAAGTCATCCTTTTCTTCTCTATATCAAAACTATTGAACCTCAGGGAGTAGAAAGTGAGGTGTCCCTGAGTCAAAGGTATAAAGTTCTCTCCTAGAGCTTAAAATTGGCCTTGTCTCTTCTCATCTAAAAGCAGCTGGAGAATAGAGGCAGCAGCAACTTCAATAAAAACTCAAATTACAATTTTTTAGGCCACAAATGCAGTATGTTATTTACCAGTTCTTTCTGGGTAAAAATACCTATCTGTAACTCCCTATTTCAAAGTCCCCTCCTACAGAGGTTATAGAAACTATTACTGTCTCTTTAAGATCATAGATGCCATGAGGTACAATTGTAACTGTTAGTCTATGAGGTGCTTATAATTCACTATGGAGTCAAGGGCAGTATGTATTTTTATTGCTGAACCATAAACAGGAATATGCTGGAGTCAGCTAGTAGGCACTATGTAAATGCTTGTTCCCTTCCCTTTTCCTTAGTTATTACTAGGAAATCAGCAAACCCTACAAATAAGGGCTTGATTTATTATTTGTTAATTATCTATAAACAACAAAGTGCTGAAAAATGTTTATAATGTAGATGAAACTTAAAAGTATGTTATATGCATTCTTTTTTTGGGGGGGGGATAGCTGGTTGTTAAACATTTACTAACATAACTCTGATCCATAAGGCCATGTGATAGAAACTATGGAAACAGACAAAAACAATGAAGAGTAGGCAAAACTTCTTTCTTGTTCTAACGATCTTAAAAGCTGTTCTACGGAAAGACATTATGAAGAGAAACTTATGAGTCTGAAGAGACTAAGAGTGGTAATAAAAGAGGTAAGTGGTAGGAGAGATAATAGAAGCCCAATAGACTCATTAGCTAGGGAGAGACTGAGAGAACCAGAAGGTGGAATCGGCTCCCTTCTTTACCAAACTACTTTGACCTTTATCCTGCAGGAAGGCTGAAGAGAATAAATGGGATGAGACATCTGGGAATCTTGAGGGTTCTTAATCTGCAAGGTTAAGTGGTAGGACTAGGTTTTCAAAAGTAAGAAAAAACCACCAGCAATCAACAGTGATGGTTTCAGGTGACTCGGGTGACTTTTTTTTCCTTTACCGTTAAACAAGTGTTAAGAATTATTATGCCTTTGTGATATGATTGATTGTATTGTTAATAAGTTACACATCCAGTAAGTAATCAATTGTAGGATTTTGGGGGGGGTAATATAGCTAGATATGAGCAGCTCTTAAAGAAGCAAGGTTTCTCCAGTTTATTAAATGGTTTTTACTGAAATGATTTGGGAGTCTGATCTTAGATGATGAGAGATTTGTTGAAATTTTATCAATAAGGAAAAATGCAAACATACTCCCAGACACCCTAGAATTTGAGATAACTAAATATGAGAATGAATCAAGTGGCAAGTTGAGAGGCTGACCTATAAATAAGAATGAAAGACCCTAGAACCTTGTCACATAAAATACACACTGTTTGCTGAAGGATTGCCTGGCTTTGGTTTTTGGAGTTTGGTAAAGAAAACAAACAATCTATATCTTAGTAGCATAGGCAGTTTTCTCATCACTTAAACCCATCATTTAAAAACCATCTTTTCTTACCATTCCTGCATTCGTTTCTCCAGCTCTGGCAAAAGGAATTTACTATGAAATGCATTTATTGATGAAATATTAGAAAATATTTTGTTCACCATCTCTGCTGGAAATGAGCCTCGATTAGCTTCTTCCAATAGTCTGCAATAAAATATCTGAAGCAAAAGAGCAAAATAAGTATGTTTGAGTGCTAAAAAAAAAAAAAAACCTTTAAAAACATGATTAAAGGAATTCGTTTTGATTTTATGTTTAGGACTTTGCTCTAGTATAATGATGAGAGTCCTTGCTTAGTAATGAAAAGATCTGGGATCTAACCTGTTATCAATGACTAAACATCTGGATGAACTTGTGCAATCACTTAACCTACCTCAGTCTCAAAACAGTGCCTTGTGCATAGTGGGAACTTAATAAATGTTTGTTCAACTGAATTGTACTTATGGTTCTTTTTCCATTCACTTTTTCTACAGCACACTATAAGCCCTAATATGGAACTTACTGCATACTTTTTTAATGTAATAATTTGCGCACCTATTCTACTCCCCTACTGGACTATAAAATCACTTAGGGAGAACAAACTTTACATACCTTTGTATTCTGCACAATGCCTTTTATAGAGACAATGTTAATACTTTTATACTGAATGAATTTTCAGTACTTAGAATTTTAAATGCTCAGTAATAAATATTAATGTCCAATTAATGGACAATCTAATAATGTAACATAAGATTAAAATATTCTAACATACATACAGCTAATAACTATTTTAAAAATGAACAATCTTTGATGTACTTCACTAAGGTTATTGCATTTCCTAATTACTTATTATGATGAATATAGACAGGAGATCTATTCATTGACAAGTGTCCAGATGGTCGCTAAATATGTAAATTCACCTCCTCTGCATTTTCTAGAGAGACAAAAAATGATGACTTAAGGGACACCAACAAATAGGTACCAGTTGGACAATATAGCAATTAAGATTTTCAAGTTCAAAGAAAGGGAAAATGTATGGCAAAAAGCATCATAATAGGTACTGGCAGGACAGATGTAAAAAAAAAATCAATAAAATAAGCAAAGACAGCAAAAAAATCAGGCTCATTAATATAGCTAAGTATATAAATATACAATCTGTAGTAGTGGGGGGAAAAACCCAAATATCAAAAAATACTTAAGAGTAAAATGAGCTAAAATGATTTTTAACTGCTATCTAAACAATGATTTATTTCTGGTAAAATTATTCAGTAAAATGTCATGTAAAGAGATGATTCTGGGAAGATGGTGGAATAGGTCAGAAAATCCCAAGCTCTCTAGATTTTCCCCACAAACAAGATAAAATAGCGCCTCAGGTATGAAGTGTAAACACCTCCAGGCTAGTTCCACTGAAATAGCAAGAGGGGAACCCTGGGGCTAGCTGGGTTGGGAGGTAGTCTTGGCCCAAGCCACAAGAACTTTCACCTCCCAGATAGTGTGGGGAGTTGGGCTTCTGAGCCAGGGAAGATTGAGGGAACCTCTGCTGATAAGGAATGCCAGACCCATCTGTGTTGCTGAAACACGGCCCTGGGCAAGAAGGAACCAGCACACTTCCAGTGAATGCAGAAGCAGTAGGGCAGGGACATTGCTGGCTGTGGGCACTTATAGAAGGGAAGAGTTCTTGATTTTGGTTCCAGGCCAGAGGGAAGAACTGAAGGAGCACCTGAGGCCAGGGGCATCATTCCCCATATCCCAGGACTAAAGGCGATTACAAAAAATAAGTTGCTACAAATTTTTAAAAAATAAGCAGGCAAAGGAGAAAGAATCCACCTATAGAAAATTACTATGGGAATAGAGAAGACTGGGGTTAGTCTTCAGAGAAAGATAATGAAGCAAAAAAAGCCTGCTCTGCCCCAAAGAGTAATGTCAAATGGTTACCTGCCCAAAATGAATTTATAGAAGAACTTAAAAAAGACTTTAAAAATCAAATGAGAGATAGTGAGGAAAAATTAAAAAAAAAATAAGAACAATCCAAGAAAAACTAATAAAACAAAATATGAGAATGAAAAAATAGAAGAGAATGTGAAACATCTCATTAGAAAAACAACTGATCTGGAGAACAGATCAAGAAAAAAAATAAGAATAATTAAACTACCTGAAAGCTATGATTAAAAAAAGAATCTTGATATAATAATACAAAAAATAATTAAAGAAAACTGTCCTGAAGTGTTAGAACAAGAGGGGAAAGTAGACATAGAAGAGATCCACTGATCAATACCTGAAAGAGATACTATGAGAAAAATCTACAGGAATATCATAGTCAAATTCTGAAACCTCACTTCAAGGCAAAAATATTAAGAACAAGAAAAAAAAATTAAATATGGCACTGTCACAATTAGAATCACACAAACCTAGTAGCAGTGATATTAAAAGACAGCAGGTCTTGGAACACTATATAGCAAAGAGCAAAAGAACTGGGTTTGTGGCTGAAAATATCATACCCAGCAAAGTTAAGCATAATCCTAAATGGAAAAAAAAAATGGACATTTAATGAATTGCCAGACTTTGGGATTTTTATTAAAAAAAAAAAAACTGAACTTAATAGAAGATTTGACATATAAGATCTAAGAGAAACATAAGTTACATGCCAAAATGTAATTACAAGGGAATCAATAAAGACAGACTGTTTACTTTTTATATGAGGAAATACAAAACATATGTCTAAAACTGGTATTAGTAATTGAGTAGTTTGAAAGAAAGATTGGGGTAGACCTGAGTATATGATTTTAAAAAGTAAAACCATTTAGGAAAAGTAAAAGTAGTAATTATATAAATGAGGTGCAAGAAGAAGACTGACACAAAGGAATTAAATGGGGGAGGAGGGCTGGTAGTTCTAGAACCCTACTTTCATTAGGAATGGGTTTAAGAGGCAACAATACATATATATCTAGAAGGATATAAACGTCTTCCAAATTCAGAAAGAAATAAAAGGCTAAGGAGATAAGGAGGGGGGAGAGAATAAGGGAGGGTTTTTTGGAGGAGAAGTTGAGGAAACAGCATAAGGGGGCTAACAGAAGGGTGTTTAGATTAACAGGAATGGGAGAATAAGGGAAGGATCCATGTAGCGGTGGTAGGGTAAGTAACAGGAGGGCAAGGTAGAAGTAAAGTAGAGGAGTCAGGAGGGATATGAAATAAGAGAAATACACAAACATAAAATAAAGATAAAGAGTAGAATTTATTAGGGGAAAAAAGCAGGGATAGTAATCATGGTCTCAGACAAAGTTAAAGCCAAAACAGATTTAATTAAATATAGAAAAATAGGAAAACTACATTATATGTCAGTCATATTAATCAATTTTGTTTTAGACTATTTAAAATAACTAGACAGCATAAGGTTGGAATGTTACTGTGGTGTAGGAAATGACAAGATGGTAAACTTAGAAAAATATGGAAACATATTTCTTATGTTGGACTTATGAAGGAAGAGATTATCTATCCTCAGAGAAACAGAGGACAAATAAGTATAGTATGGTTCTTACATAGATGCATATGAATGTGTATGTCCACATATGAGAATAATTATAGATTTCTAAGTATATGTGTGTATATGTATATACATGTGTATATATACACACATGCACACATACATACCACACACATATACATACACACAGATACATACATATAACATATCTGTGCTTAATTGTAGCCTTCTTGAGGGAGGGAAAAGGAGGAAGGTGGAAAAAAGAACAAAGTAAAAAGTGCACAGCAGAGAAGAAAAGAAAATTTACAAGGAAGCGAAGAAAAGATGGATAGCTATGAATACAATGCATAGTATTTATTATATAATCTTTTTTGAAATGGAAATTTATTGTTGTTTATTTTGAATCTTATCTTACGTTCTGCTGTGCACATGGCAATGCTTTTTTTCTTTTCTTATTTTGTACTTAAGTTTTAATATTTAAGTTTATAATATGTTTCTTTTTCTTTTCTTATTGTGTATTTAAGTTTAAAATAAATTAATAAAAAAGAAAAAGGCATATATTTGAGAATCAGAATTACAAAAATGTCCTTATCTTACCAGCCTAACAGAAATTTGGTTTACTCCAAGGATAAAAGAAATATTAAGGAAATGAGACTTATCTAGACAGCTCCAGAGATGTCAGTCTTCAGGAGACAGTGAATATTGAAGCAATAATATTCTTTTCTACTATCAAAGTTCTGAGGCAAGTCACTTAACTACTTTGACCTTCAATTTCCTTATCTGCAAAATGAGGGGGTTAGGGTTATTTTAAAGTCTTTTCTAAGCCTAAGTCTACAATTCTATGGTCACATTTCTCACCAATAAATCTTCAATGTGCCCTGAAAATTTTTTGATACTCTTATTTTACATTATAAAATGCTTTAGTTCCTATCTGAAAAAGCTACTTTGAAAGCATATAGAATCAGAAATGCATGAAGCTATAGGCCAGCTGGATAATTCCTTATAATTCCCACTTTTCTCTACTAGCAACCCCCAAGGTTTGGTTTATTATAAAATATAGATTTCAAGATGTCATCTCTCTTAGCCTGGGTTCCTTGCCAATCTTTGCCAATGGGAGAGAATATGGGCTTTCCCTAATTTTCTTCTTGAAAAGATAACATAATCCTTCTTTTAGGTTTTTAAAAAATGTTTCTACTATTTCAGAGGATTAAAATAATACATTGGGGGAAAAAACCAATCAAGCAACAAACATTCATTAAATGGTTACCATGTGCCAAGCACAGTGCTATATGCCGAGGACACAAAGAAGAGCAAAAATGCAAAAAGTTCCTGCCTTCAAGAAGCTTACATACTAATAAGGAAGAAAACATATAAATTAATAAGTACATACAAGCTACAGAGCAGATGGAAGATAACTTTAGAAAGGAAGGCTCAAGTGATTGGGGGATTAGGAAGAAGAACCAGGAAGGCCTCCTAAAGAAGGTGAGGTCTAAACTAACTTTTGAAAGAAGCCAGGAATATCAAGAGGTAGAATATTTTAGGCACATGAGAAGGTCAGTAATAAGGTACAGAGATAGGAGGAATAGCAAGTATACCTGGATCTTAGAGTATGTAGAAAAGAGTAAAATATGAGAAGACAGGAAAGGTAGGAATGGGAAAGGTTGTGAAGAGCATTAAATATCCAACAAATAAAAATTGTTAATCTAGTACTGTATCTAAGTGTATGTGGTCTTATTCTGGCTGTTGGCCTGTTGACATTCTTAACTTCTCACTGTGAGAATAGAAGAAGACACTTTTTACTTGGCCTGTGAACACCTTGGGCTTCAGGCTTTTTGCTTCAATCTGGCAGTTGCTTCCTTCGTTCTACTGGAAATCTTAGTAGGTATTGGTTCTTAGATGGATGTTTGCACACATGGGCACATGCATTCTATCTCTTATACTACCCTAACCTATCCTTTCTCTTTTGGATGTTTCAACTAAAGTTTTGATCTTCTGTTGAAGTTTTGGTTCCTCTATCTACTACTGCCACAGATTGGTTAAAGGAACTGATGCAAACAGCTTACAATGTCATTTGTTTTCCTACGATTAACTATAGGAGCTTATTGTTTCTATGTTTGTCAAGAAGAAATATTTAAACCTAGCAAGTCCACATGCAAAAAAACAGATGGTAGTAAACATTTATTTGAGGCAATTACTAGTAACTAAAGAGCTGGAAACTTAACTCTTTCTGGAAAAAAAGCTTAATATTCTAAATTTTACATTATTTACGATGTCAAATAACACAATATAAATAACAGAGATAACAAAAATAAATTTTTTCCTGAAAAGGAAAATATTACCTTGTCTAAAAGGTCAAGTCGATTAACATAGGCTCTTTCTGTAAGCAAGAGTTCAGTGGCAATTTTATGAAGTTTCTGCTCATCCGTCTCCTAAAAAAAAGATCAATAAGGAAAATATTTATATAAGCTTAAACATCCATTTATTTTCTCAATGAATAATCAAGAAAACTGACTATCCCATAAAAACAATTGGCTATTTCTTAGCTACCTATCAATTTATTTTTAACTATCAAGAAAAATTTGATCAGAAATCTGAATAAAGTCAAATAAAGAGATGACAAATTTGCCAAATTCAAATAATTCTTCTCCTTGATCTCTCTTTAGTACCAGATAAAAATGACTCTAGCCCCCTTCTCCCTCCCTTGGCTTCAATGACATGTCCTGATTCTTATTATTTTTGATGTCACCATTGCTTTCTATCTATCAATGGCTATAATTCTTCCTCCTGACTCCCTAAATGAGGGAGTATTTGGAATCTAACCTCAGGCTTCCCCCATCCTACATTCTCTCTCTCTTACAGAATTCTTCCAACCCTATAACTTAAACGATCACCTATGTGGATGAAGACTCCCAATTTTTATTTGCATGTGTGTATGTATAGCATATATACACATTCACATGTGTATACTCACACAAATATATGCAAAAAACACATACATGTATATATATATATATTACATATGTGTATGTATTATATATGGACATATATTTATTTGTATCTTCTTTCAGAATATTCCTTCAAATTGCATTTGAGTTTGCAGGCTGGGTTCTTGAAGGGTAGCTTTTACCTCAGGTTCTTGGGGTAAACCTGTGAATCTGTCCTCAAAACACTTCAGTCTCAATGAGCTCCTTATCAATGTACTTCCCATTAACAATGAGCAAATACACAATTAGCTCTTAGCAAAAGAAGAATAGTAGTTACAAAACATCTTACAAGGAGTACCTTCTCTCTCATACTATACAGTGCCCAAGGGAAGAATGCACTCAAACTTAAGTATAAATGACAGTGAGGCTCATGTGTAGGATACATATATGGTAAAGGCAACTCACAACTCCTCATACTAAAGGGCCTGGAGGGCTTTTCTCTCTTTGTAAAGCCTTTTATGATGAATTTTTGGGATCTGTTCCTCTTCATAGTCCTACTGTCAGTGGTCATGGTCCTTAAATCTATTTTTTCCCTGGATGTTTCCATCTATTTGTGTCTAACTGGAATGTGTCTCTGATCCTTGATCATAATTATATGGCTGATGGGAACGGAGGACAGGAGAAAATCCTTACAACTACCAGAAGCCATCTCCCTAATAAGCAGCTTTTACTGTTGACAGCTTTAAGTGCCTCAGGGCTTTAGATATTTTAAGTTCCCAGATATGTGGCTAATCTGTTTTCTCAGCCTACTGAATTAGCTTCCTTTCTTAAATCAGAAAGGTGTTTGCTGCTGATAAAGGGCTCAGGGCAAGGATTCATCTATAGTCAATATAATACCTCATTAACATCTTGTGATAGCATTCTGGGTCTTCTGACTAAATCAACTGAGTTGGAGAGAGCAACCCTATCCCATAGATAGGTGGCACAGAGGAAAGAGTGCTGGATTTGGAATCAGGAAGGCCTCCTACAGAAGGTGAGTCTAAGTTAAGTTTTAAAAGAAGCCAGAAGTAGAGGTGAGGAGGTGAAGTATTCTAGGCACATGAGAGAGCCAATAAGAAGGTACTGAGGTATGAGAGGTATAGCAAGTATCACTGGATCTTAGAGTACACAGAGAAGAGTGAAATATGAGAAGACAGGAAAGGTAGAAGGGGAGAGAAGAGCAATTTAAATTTTGCCTCAGATACTTGTATCTTATAGTTGGTAAAGTTGTTGCAACCCCTGCCAAGCCACTTATCTTCTCTGTGCCTCAGTTCCATCATGTGTAAAACAGAATAATAATAGTACCTACTACACAGCATCATCATGAAGATCCATGATATAACAAAGTGCTTTGCAAATTTAAAGCACTTTATACATTCTAGGTATTATATATACCTACATACACATATACACACACATAGCTAATATCTCTAGCCTCATCCTGAGCTTCAGTCCTATATGAATTGCCAGTAACACGTCTAAATTCAATTAGGTTTAAACGTTATCTTCTTTACCCTGAAACCAACAAGCCAATTTCTCCCCAAAGAATTCCCCATTTTTGTTATTGCTCCCATCATTTTCTCAGTCATCCAAGCTTGAAACCTGAGAGTATTCTTTGACTTTCCCTTTTTGTCTTCCATCTAATTAGCCACTAAATTCAGCTAGTCCTCTCTTAACAACGTTTTTGAAATCTGAACTTTCTTCCTAACGCCATTAACAGGCCTTTATCATTTCATGCTTGAGATGTTGCAATAGTAATTTTTTCTTTTTATTATGAATTTAACAATTATTAAACACAAACATTTCAATATAAAAACAAAAGATTTCATAAAAAATTATAATTATAATTATATTACATATAATATATAAAATTATATAATTTACATTTTAATATATATTATATTCCTAATCAGTTCTTTGTACACACCGCTGCTCAATTACCTTCTCCTTACTCCCAACTCCCTAACAAACAAAATTCAAACTTCTTAGCCTGGTATTCAAGGCTCTCATCAATAGAGTCTTTACTTACCTCAACATTATTTTGCATTACTTCTTTATATGAATTAAATTCAATACACATTTATTAACTCTCTATTCTATCCAAACTCATCTATGTTTGTTTCACCAAACTTGCCATATACAGGCCTACCTCCAAACTTTCGATCATGTAGTTTCTCTAGTCTGCAATGTCCTTCCTCCCTACTTTTCTACCCTTTTAAGATCTAACCTCCCAGAATTCTGAGTCTTAGCAGATCTCATCCACATATATAGAAAACTGACACTAAAATGTCACTATCATTTACATCTTCCCACTAATGCTTTTTCCCTTCTTCTAGATGATCCTTCACTTCTGTGCATTTGCATTCCCAATCAATTATTTGTTCTTTAGTGAGACTTGTCACCATGGATTCAAAATTTTATATTCTGTCAATTATTTCTACTGTGCAGGCTATAAACTCTGCTTTCACAGTTCTTATTTCTCTTTTAAACACATCAAAAACATCTTGCTGTGATGCTGTTTTCTCTTTAGGAATCAATAGCGTCTTCTACCTTACAAGTTATTGATTCATTTTCTTTGGTATTAAAATATTTATTTGTAGATGTCTGAACTTGCTTAGCTGATCTGGAGTCCATATTCCCTTCTATTATTAATACTGTCTAGGTGGGTTTATCTGCTTACATTCAAGGTCTTTAAGTTTTCTTCTTCCTGAGATCTTTGGTAACTTCAGTCTTTTTTCCTTATTTGTCCTTATTTTCACTTTTTGACTCCTTCCACTTTGATTATGCTTTCCCTGGGAGCTGAACCTCAAAATTTTCCCAGCTTAGGCAATTCACATTTCACAGCTTGTCTCTACTTTAAGTGACTTCTGAGGAAAAGAACTTCCTGTGGCTAGATGCCCGCCTCTTTCCCTCAGGCTTAACAGAGCACCATAAAGCCATACAACCGTGCTCTCCGCCAGCTCTTTCTGTTCAGTTTTGTTTCATTGCTTTTGTTAATAGTGACCTATTATGTTTATGGTTTTCCCAATATTGACCCAACCCTACATTCCTACTATAATCCTACATGGTCAGTCATACTGATCAGTGCTACTGGTCATACTTTTTTGGTAAACTGCTGTAGCCTCTTTACTAACAAAATATGTCAAATTTTTATATTGATATTCATTAGGATTATTGGTCTCTTAGTTTTCTTTTTTTGATTGGTGTCTTCCTTGCTTAGGTCTCAAGATCATATTTGTATAATGAGAAATTTTTGCAAAGAGTTCATTTAATACATGAATTGAATATGCTTTAATATTTGATAGAAGTCATGTTTGAATTAATTTGGTCCTTTTCTACTACCCCCACCCCCACCTCCTCTGGTTTGAGAGTTTATTTTTTATTCTCTTTAACTTCTTTTTCTAAGGTTTAATTATTTTTCTTATTCTGTTCATTTGGGTATTTTATATTGTTTTGTTTATATTCATCATTATTAGGCAAAATAATGCCTAATAATTTTCTTTATTTCTTCATTCACTGTAATTTCATTACCAATAATGGGAATTTGGGGTTTTTTTCCTTGCTCTTTTAAAGAATAAAACTATGATTTTTATTGTTTCTTGAAAAAGGCTGCCTCCTAGTTTTATTTATCAAATCAAAAGTTTCTTTTTTCCTTTCGATTCTGTGAATTTCTTCTGTGATTTTCAGGATTTCTACTTTGGGGGTTAATTCAGGTTTCTTAATTTGCTGGTTTTCTAGTTAAGTTAAATAGACAGTTTATTGATCCATTTTCCCCCTTTACTTCTGAAAGTATTTAGAGATGTACATTTTCCTCTCATTATTGCTATGGCTGAATCCTAAACATTTCTGGCATGCTGACTCTTCTCACTTTTTTTAGTGACATTTTCTATTTTTTCCTATGATTTGTCCTTTGATCTATGAATTCTTTAGGATTAAGTTTGGCCTCCACATTTTTAATCCTTTCAACAAAGGCTCTTTACTGAATATAGCTTTTAATGCATTGTGATCAATAAAGGCTGTGTTTAATATTTCTGCTTTCTGAATTTGAGAGGTTTTTATGCCTAGCACATCACCAGTTTTTTTTTTTAAGGTGCTGTATACATCTGAGAAAAATGTATATGCTTTTCTGTGCTCATTCAGTAATCACCAGAGATCTAGCACATCTAACTTGGCTAACAATTCTGTCTGTGTCCTTTATTCTTTCTCATTTAGCTTTTGGCTAGATTTGTCTAGTTATGGGGGTGGGGGAGAGGTACATTGAAATTCCCAGATGTTGCTATTTTGTTGTTTATTTCCTCTTGTAAATTAATTAGCCTTTCCTTTAAGTAGTGATTCTTCTTTATTGTTGTCTTGTCTGAGAATATGATTACCGTCTTTGTTTTTTTTTTTTTTGAGCTTACCTGAAACAACAGATTTTGTCCCAGTCGCTTATTTTAACTATCAAACTTTTTTCAAGTGTGTTTCTT